TCAGCTTACGATCGAAACACCATTGACAGCTTCTCTGTGTAACTTCCCTAGTCGGTGAACCTCTGCGGCCCAGACCTACGAAGCTCGCAGAGCCTCCTTCTCCGGATCCTTGGCCTCTTGCAGCTGCTTCTTCCTCGCCCCGACACGCTCGTCGATGAAGTCCAGAAGCTCCCCCTGCCTCTTGCGGAAGGTTTGCTCGCGCAGCTTGAGCATGGCGGAGAGTGATCCGTTCTTCGCCTGCCAGGCCTTTGAAGCGGTGCCGAAGGTCTTCGCGAATTGACGGTTCAGAGCCTTCCTCGTGGCATCCCACCCATTCTGCTTGCTGAAACCGGCGCTGGGCAGTCTGTGGCTGTCTTGAAGATGCTTGAGGGGTCGGATCTTTCCCAGTGTTTCGATGCGGGTTTGCCGGTATGATCCCCATGGGGTGACGGGATCGTAGAAGCCGAATTGAGCACCGGTGACATCCAACGCGTAATCTTCATCCTCATTGATGGTGATCTTGAAGATGACGTGCTCAGATTTAGAGCTGTCGCTTTCGTGCCCGTCCGGTTCGATGACGACGACCCTATGCAGATTTCAGTCAGCATGGCTTTTGGAGGCAGGAACGCAGTTTCTAAGCTAGGTTTGGACAAACACAAGAGCATCCAGCTCTCGAAACATGGTCCTTCGAACACGGTTTTGGACACTAACTAGGAAGCAATTACTTCAATGTGTGCTTACCGACGTAGATACTTGACTTTCGGAATCCGAACCTCTGACACTTTGAACGGGACATCTGTGACATGTTAGTCTAATCGGATCACAATTGAGATTTCATCGCCGCCCTCGAGTCTTGGATCGCCCGTCGACGATTGTAATGGGGTTCTGACCTTGGAGCATAGTCTCAACAAGAACTTGCACGTAGTCTTCCGAGCTACCACAATTCATCCAGGCCATAGCAGCCTGCTTGTCTTGATCGCTGTTCAACTGCTCTGAAGGAAATGCGTTGAATATGCTCCGATCCTTGGGCCCCTCCCGCACGTAAAGGGTTTCTTCCTTGGATTCTAACCCTACGACGTCCAGATCGAAGATGCGCTCGACAAGACGGAAGAACGCGAGCTGTGCTGTCTCCGCCACACGATAAAGAGATTTGCGGGCCTGAGCCTTCTTGCAATCGCTCTTGTGGTACGTCCAATCAGCTTCCTGACACTTCACGCTGCAGTACCATACAGACTCGACGTGTCCTCCTTCGGCATCTGGCGCTTGACGGCAACCATCGCAGATTTTCGTGGCAGCTTCCCTGCAGCGGGCACAAATGTTGATTGTCTCATCTGCTTCTTCTGTAGAGGAAACCATCTTTGATAGGCACCCTGTTACACGTGGTCAGGTGCGGAATGTTGTAGTCTTGTATGATAAGAGCGCATGAGGCCTCATCAGTATTTGAGGCGCTTGTTGAAAGTATTATTGTGTTGATCAGGGGCCGGAAGCTGTGGCTGGTTCTGGAAGTTGGTGGTTGATTGTGGTTCAGGACCGAATGAGGCGGTTGCAGCAACCCGTAAGACTGTTCGAATGATAGGAGTGGTTGCCCGGATGTCTTGTCTTATCAATCTTTGGAAGCTAGAGATGTGGAAAGGTCAAGGTGTTGACAAACAAATATCACGACGCAGTCACCCCTGGACCATAGCGGGTCCAGCAAAGGTGTTAATGATAACCAACATCAAGACAAGGACATGACTAGGCTGTATTGACTTCAGCATAAGTTTTGCAAGATAGCTACCGTCACAGTAGCATCATAGCAGAGGCACAACTGCTTCCGTATAAGTCATGCCATAGTCCGCAACTCCAGCAAACAACGTTGCATTTCTTTCACTTTATGGAAGCATCTGGCAGGACTGTTTTGGCGGTGTGCAGCCTGCGGCTACTTTTCAACAAAGGCTTGTGCAATGCAAAGGTGCCCTCTTCCCTGTCAAAGACTCCTTGATGTAAAGCTGCAGCCACCCTGCCATCCTTGTCTCGCAGTCTGTGCAACATCCTCCCTATACGCCACAGTATTCTCGTCCTCAATCTTCAGTCTTATTCATTGCTTCCTTTCTTACAGCCTCCATGCTTTTCACTTCTTGGTATGCTTCGTAAATCTTTGAGGTTTTCTGCAGGAAGGTTCATTTTGACAGTTGGAGACTGGACGTTCTCAAGATCCTGAACGTGCCGTTCTAGCCGGGGGTCTGACTACATGCTTCTTTATACACTTAATGCCCAGCTACATTCACGTCGTCAGCAAAGAGAGAACCCATCTTGTGAAAGGCCTCTGTATGTTCCAACGCATTGAGCCTGGCCATGATGTCCGAAAACCATCACAAAGACGTCACTGAGGCACCTACGTTCCGCAGTCCGTTACTCGTGACCACGGTCCAACCAATAGACACGGTTTCGAAAAAGCAAGAGCGAGGGGCGCATCATAGCAGATCCCAGAATCCCCCGAGATTGCTATTTTGAACGACCAGGTCTAAGCTCAAGCGCTCATTCGAGTGCTGGACAGCCTTACGCTTGTGTAGAGCACAAGGAGGCGATGGAAGCCTGAGGGCTTGGACTGCGCCCCTTGTGCTACTCCTTTGGCGAACCAGCGCTAGTCTGGAAATGGAGGTAGCGCATCGCCAGCAACCGCTCGATGACTGGCCTCTTCAATCACCAAAGCTCTCTCTGACTTTGGCTGGACACGACAGCTCTAGAGATGAGACAGAAAGCCTCAATTGAGCAATTGCCTCGACAGAAGGATCAATTCCCTGGCATGGCAAGTCGAGCTTGGCCTAGGCTGGACAGCCATCTACGAGGCGCAAGCCTGCCAGGTGCCAATTGGTCTACCTATCTATTACCATCCTGCGCAGTAGCAGAGATGGCAAGGCTACAGACCAATGACATCAGAGCCAGCTGTCAACTGGCTGCGAATTGACCAAGTGCTAATTAGATGAATGCTCGCTTGTGTACAGCAAGGCAATGCCCTCCTCCATAATCCCTCAATTGCCCGGAGCGCTTGCTCTTGCCCAAAGCGAGCGATATGAATCACACATCATGTGCACGGCGAATGGCCGTTTCGGAGGCCTATTAAATCAATTAAAAAGCTGACTCTCCCCTGACAGCTGTTGACAGCCTGTTATCGAATATTAGCACTGACACAGGCTCTCAGTCTGTTTACTTTTTGGGGTGATCTTCCAAAACATTACTTCCTACAATAATTCAAGAACCAATACCTGTGCAGTACTCCTGCTAGCTCACGGCAATACTTCCACTACCTTCGATCGCCCCAACCCCATCAATGTCTGCCACCACGAATCCTCTCCGCCGTCCCTTCGAGACATTCCATAGAGCACATCGAGGATCCAATGGTCACCACAACTCCTCTGAGGCGAATGTTGGGATACCGTTTCATGGTAGCTGTTCAAGATGCCACCACTTCCACATCAACCACCAATTCGAATTCTCCCTCGACTCTACGGTACACACAAGGCTATTCTGCGAAAGGTGCAACCACCCTATATTTGGATTGGGGAGGGTCTCAACCCAAAATACCCTCGCTTCGGTCGAATCTGGTTCCACATTCACTCCTCGAGCTTGCGTCGATCGACCGGGACAACAACCCGCATCGCAGGTAGAGGCAGTGCCGGGCACTCCAGGGCTTGGGCTGTTGACCACGATTACGGAGCGCAGGTCTCCAGCACCCAGTCGGTCTACTTCCAATATCCGCACTCCAACGCCGACGCCGGGGGCTACCTCCCCGGCTGGTGAAGAAGCAGGTGCCGACACTAGACGGGAAGAACCCGTGGAAAGTCGTGATTTGCCAAATGGTACTGCTCAAGGGGGCCCGGAAGAGCGAGGCTTACAGCCGCAGACTGCGACTCTAAGACGTCTTCGGACAATTGGCCGTCGGTTCAAGCGGCGCTTCCATGCCAAACCAAGGGAGTGGAGATTACCTCGGATAGGGCTACGAATCACTTACGCTCATAGGGCTGACATCGGGAGCGATGCGTTTGCTTCGGCCTCCGTAACAGAGGCGTCTTCAGGTCAGGAACGATCAGATAACGCCGAAGAGCTAGTCAACGGAACAGGAGATGATACAGAGGACAGGCATGCGCCCCTTCGTGCACGACGGCGCGAGTCAACGCTTGAGAGAGAAAGAGAAGTCGCATCGATTCCCAAGTGCGAGTGCGGTCATGAGTGTCCCTGCATGAGCGGTTCCCATGTTGTCCAAGTCGACAGAGCCGAAACGCCTGAGAATATTTACGTCCCTGGTTACCTCTTTCCCCACCATTATTCATCCACAGGAAGCAGCAACAGCCAACCTTCTCAAAACGGTGCACAAGGACTGGATTTTCTCTACATCGGCGGTCACTTCGACTCACCGCGGAGGTCGTCAAGTGCTGATGAATCAAGCTCCGCTGCGGAAAGTGGTCCGAGACGAATCAGGCTCAGTCAAGGTTCAACACTATGGAGCAATGCAAGCTCTGTCTCCTTACGGGCCAGGCGACCACTTGTTGGTCGAGCTTCTAGCATGCCTGTTGGCACTCGTGCCCAATATCTTGCTGGCGCTCGGACTAGCTCGAATACGAACGGCTCAACCCCAGGCTCTGGCTGGCCTGAGACCGCCAGAGCTCCTGGATCGCTCGACGAGGGAAGCATACCTGGACGTACAAGCCACACGGAATCCTCCCGGAACGGCGAAAGCCAATCGCACCAAAGCTCTATAAGCCTCGCGAATCTCCCTGATCCTCAAGAAGAGGAGCAAATGGTTGACGGTGTGAGCCCTGCGAGCGCCACACCATTGCCGGACGGCGACGAAGTTACTCCAACACCACACAGCGGCATCGGCTTAAACGGGGACTCGAATGGAGTGGCGCCAGTGGGCTCGCATGAGCTGTCAAGTGCTTTACAGGATCTTGGGAATCAAGAAATAACAGCTGATGAGGATCACTCGCCAGAATCTCTAGCTAACGACCGCTCTGGCTGAAAATTATACATCCTTCCTGGCCTCATTCAGAGTCATTGAAATTGATCTTGCTAGCTCTTGTTCTTTCTTTCGCATCGGCTGTACTGGCTCGCTGCCGACTTACAAACCCAAAGTTCAGCCCCTGGATATCCCGAAACGGCGCAATCAATAGAGAAGAAGTCTTCGAAGATATGGCGGGTTTGAGCGAGTGGAAAGGTTCACGCTCGGCTGGTTGTCGCTCTTCACGTTTACGAATTATCGTTTTCGTCTTGTCCCGTTTTCCTTGCATGGCGTTGGTAGAAGTGCTTACAGGTTCCCCAGCGCTGTCGTAGGGTTCTTGTGGGTTTTGTGATTTCATCTTGTGTTCATTGACGTGTATATCTCCGCCATGATGTATGGTCAGATTTAGGGTGGTCTCTTTGTACTTAAGTCTCATGAATGCACAATGTTATGCACTCAGCCCACGACCTGGTCTCGTAGGCCACAACTATTAGTCCGACATTTTCTATATAAATTCGTGGGTCGCTGCGAATGGCTCTAAGTTCTTTAGATGGGCTTGCAGATTGACAGTCGCCCTCACTACATCGACGAAACCGCTCCTGGACAATGACGAGATTCCCTCTTGTCTTGTCTCATTACTACAGAAAGGCCAATGCAAATCTTCGTCATCAAGGTAAGAGCCATGAGTTGGGTGAGGCTACTTGGGTTTTCCGGGTTGCCCAGTCGTGTTTCAAGTCGTGTCCGTTAGCGATTATTGGAACCTCAGAATGAGATGAGAAGGATGACTAGCTAAGTAAGTCCCATGGGCCGACTATATTGTACATCTACAACGAAAAGCAAGGATAGTGCCGAACAAAGGCCAGACATCAGCTGATATCATTGCTTCCAACGGCGATCAGCAAGAACGAAATGCAGGAGCATGCCATAGAAACGGAATCGCTTGGGGGACCTACTCGGACCTTCCAGCCCTGGGCTGGACCGAAAAGACTGGTGTCATGAAATCTTGTCCGAATGATTAGCCCAGGTCGAGTATAGTAGCGCCCGCTCAGGCTCGATCTATAGTCATGGGCAACTCTGGAAAGATTGAAAGAACTTGTACGAGAAAAATTCATTCACCAACACACGGATACTCGCAGTATCGCCATGCCTGGTTACGCTGGTAGTGTGGTTGAGTATATGATTGGGGACTTGAGAGGATGATAGGCCTATAACAGGCGACCATGAAAATGGAGGAGGCAAAACCTTGAGAACACGCCTTGATCGTACCACCATCAAGGAGATCTCTCACGTCGAAGAGATGACAGCTTTACCCCGAAAATAGCAGATTGGGGATTCGAGGAGGGCTGCTCAATGTTCTTCCGGCCAAGATGTGTCTTTTGTGGGTAGACTTTGGAACAAGCTAGCTGCTGATCGGAGGCTCGATCTCGACGACGAAGGGACTTCTAAAAGGTGGTCATTCGGAAGAGATACGGGCTCAAGTCGAAATAACGGGAGCTGTGTTGCCCGGAAGCCTCTTGATCAGCGAGCGCAGGACCATTAAGTCAAAATGTTTAGATGAACTCACCAGCCAGAAAATGTGAATTTCGAAGGCCCCTTGTTGATCCCGGTCTACTTTGCTAAAATCTAACCTCAACATCATTCACAGAACAACCGTTGAATCCATTATTACTAATACAACCGTCGTAAAGGATGCACAGGCTCAGATGCCGCGATAACTTATATCGACCTTCGCAAGCGAGACGGCGTTTAGGGCAGTGCTCTAAAATTACTTGATGGGATACTTAAAGTTCAAGGAGTCAGTCCCGGAATCTTTCAGCACGATTACCGTCAAACTGAAACCATAATCAAACAAACCAACATTCATGATCCTGCTCTCTCAAATCACATCTATTAAATAACATGCAACAATAATAACATTTCTTGCTGTGTGGCTGTGAGTCGGACCGGAAGTCTAATCTCGATATTTCCAATCCAAAATACTGCGCGATTGGCACCAGCCTATCAATGATACAACTTATACGACAAATTTGGGTGCCGTCGTTGCCTGGAAGCTCATTATATGACCAAAGAGATGGAGCAAGCCAGTCGCTCGGTCAGGGATATCGAAAGGAATCCCGTAGGTGAAGCTCACTTGACAAATACCACGGTTCGGAGTCTTGCATGGCGCGGCATACATGTCGAAAAAAGAAGCTGGATGACCGATGTTCGACCCATTCCCTTTCTCTCAACTATAGATGGATATGCTGAGGCTGGTACACTGACCCAGCCATTGGAAAAGAGATTCGCGCTGAATTGGACTAGGGACACTCACCGCCCTAATGGGACCTTCTGGCAGCGGCAAGACCACGCTACTGAACGTACTCGCTCATCGGAATCCCGGTGCAAAATTGAATGTCGCGGGCAGCGTATATGTCAACGGCTCCACCATCTCGGATACGGATTTGCAGAGCATAAGCTCCTACGTTGAGCAAGATGACGCCTTGATCGGATCGCTGACGGTGCGAGAAACGCTGGACTTTGCTGCACGTCTATCTTTGCCCAGGTAAATGTTCCTTGGGATCTGTAGGTGGCCCGTGGTCTGATAAGCTCAAGCACGATCCCAGGTCATGAGCGAAGGCGGCGCGTTGACCAGCTCCTGTTTGCGTTCGGATTGCAAAATCAAGCTCCCACCATTTTTAGCACACCCATCCGCAAGGGCATATCCGGCGGGCAGAAGCGACGGCTTTCGATTGCCAGTCAGCTCATCACCGCCCCAAAGATCTTGTTTCTTGATGAGCCTACTAGGTGTGTTTATCTTTGGTGCAAAGTCTTTTCTTCCTGGGGCGATGTAGGAGTTGGGAGACATGTTCCGGGAACAAAAGGCTCCTATCATCCTTTCGAGCTGTCTCATCTCTCGGTTCTTGGACTTGAAAGGGACGCTGACTTCGAACTCTCCATAGCGGGCTGGACTCGAAAGCAAGTTACGAAGTCATCAAATACCTGAAAAGCATTGTCCGAAAGCAAAGGGTAGGTCGTTTTGGGGGTCCGTTCCCTGTCCATCGACCACTGACAGAAGGATGCAGTTGATCGTCATCGCAAGCATTCACCAACCTTCATCATTGACTTTCGATCTTTTTGATAATCTATTGCTACTGTCAGCTGGCCTGACCTGCTATAATGGCCCACTGCCCGCGATAAAACCTTATTTCGAACGCAGAGGCCTTCCAATGCCTCTATACACTAACCCTGCCGAATTTCTGCTCGATCTTACAAGCAGTGACTTTTCTCAAGATGAGGCAGATGCACAACGCCGACTGGAAAAGCTACATTCAGCTTGGCGAGAGTCGTCCGAAGCACACGCTATCTCAGCATTTGTCGCCGGGCCGTCTTCAGAGAAGGATGTACTCATCGGGAACAAGTCTCGTGCTCCCTTTCTGAACGTCACGCTCGCACTCCTTCACCGCTCATTCATCAAGAGCTACCGAGATGTCGTTGCCTATGGCATTCGATTCGCAATGTACATCGGTCTTGCGGTCATGATGGGAACGGTATGGCAGCGACTTCCGTCAACCCAGTCATCGATAGGACCTTTTACCAACGCGATCTTCTTCGGTTCGGCCTTCATGTCCTTCATGGCCGTCGCATACGTTCCGGCTTTCCTTGAAGACCGTGCTACGTTCATCAAAGAACGCGCCAATGGCCTTTATGGCGCTGCTCCATTCATGATTGCAAACTTTCTGATCGGGTTGCCTTACCTATTCCTCATATCCCTGGTATTCTCATTAATAACCTACTTCCTCAACAACTTCCGGCCAACAGCTGGAGCCTTCTTCACATGGGTGATGTGGCTATTTCTGGATCTGCTCGCTGGAGAGTCTCTGGTTGTCCTCATGTCCTCCATCTTCCCGATATCTGTCGTCGCTCTGGCTCTCATTGCATTCGCAAATGGTCTGTGGATGAGTGTTGGCGGCTTTTTGGTCTCTCCAGAGATCTTGAACCCATTCTGGAAATACGTCTTCCATTATATTGACTATGTAAGTCACCTCTCTGGCCTTTTCCCCGGAAGAGATAAGCTGAAACCCCTCTTAGCAAGCCTACGTTTTCCGAGGCATGATGGTCAACGAATTCGGCTACCGAGTTTATGACTGCGGCAAAGGATGTCACTGTATGTACCAGAGCGCATTGGCTTCCCAGTGCAAGATTGACGGCCAGGCTGTACTGGAAGAGTATGGGTACCGTACTGGAGACACTGGCAATTGGGTCGGTATCATGCTGGCGATTATCCTTGTTTATAGGCTCATGGGGTGGGCTGTGACACATTTGCGGAAGACCTAGAGCGTTCTTAAGAGATATAGATTGCATATCCCAAGGTAAATAATCGACACACCCTCTCTTACTCTAAGCTCGGCGCTCAAGTATCGCGGTGATCTGGTGAACCCTTTTTTACACTCTGATGACTTTCTTTTTGAAACAAACTCTCAAGTTCGGACGCCCTGAGCAAGGTGACATCTCTCATGGGCGTCGTGAACAGCGAATCTTGGTTTTTTTCAATCTTCTTTCGGAAGAGGCCGTTGATAAGGATCACAAGAGACAGACCTGGAGCGCAATGAAAGGCCAACAGAGTATTGCTCATCGACTGCCGTGAATTCGACCTTGAAAGCTTCTAAGATCCCGTCATTCCCCCTTCCATTAGCCAGGATATTTCCCGGCAATTTTCGCTGCCTTGATAGACTCTGCGTCGAAGCCCGTGGTACTAGTACCTCCGAGGTACAGAATATCATGTCTGGCATACGGTTCCACATGAACCTCCACCTCATTTCTCCGATCAACAAACTCCGTACTGTTACCATAAAGCACTTCCAAGCCTCGAAGCTGCATGCACAGCTTACAAGCACTTCGGCTGCGAACTCAGATCTGTAAAGATCTGGACCCTCCGTGGCAATGGCAGACTACTAAGCCAGAATGTTGTTTTCGAGGCTGCTAACATCTACAGTCTCGCACAAGTCCTGCACAGACTCTCTCGCAATCAAGAGCTCGGAAAAGAAACCCTGGTCACGGCGATGAGCCAATTGGTCCAGAAGTACGCCGATTTGCAGAAACGTGTTCCTGGCCCAGTCGCAGCGTCCGAGCAGCATTTGGTGGTCCGTCGATTCCTGCAAGGATGCTCGGATTCACTCACGGTCCCGAGATCCTCCTGACTGGGGCTACTGGTGCAGTTGGCGCACATGTTCTCGCCCGATTTCTCGACAAAAGCAGAGTGAAAAAGTGTTCCGTTTGATCAGACGTGGGAGTACACTGTCACGGCTTCACAGTTCAATGAAAGACAGGAGACTCTCTGTTATGGATCCGACAAAGCTTTCAGTCCACACTAGTAACCTCAGCTAACCTGATCTGGATCTTGATAAAAGAGATCAGATTGTCCTATTATCGCAAATCACTCATATCATTCACTGTGCTTAGCCCGTCAAATGTCAGCTGGGCCTTCTTTCTTTTGAACCCCATATCGCCGGCGTACGGAACCTTGTGTAGATGTCTCTGGCAGTCCCAAGTGCCGAATCCGCGCGATTTATATTTTGCTCTTCCATCACTTCTGCGATGGCTAGCCCCATGCGAGCGCGAATCCCTGAGGCCCCTATCGAACACTTGTCTCTTAGCTCTAAGCTGGGCTATGGCCGTTCAAAGTTGGGTGCTGAGCACGTTATTCAGGCCGTCGTGGATACAGTGTGTGCAAAGGCAACGATACTAAGGATAGGCCAGATAGTCGGTGACCAAAAGCATGGGATTTGGAATGAAAAGGAGATGATTCCAATGATTGTTCGGAGCGGGTTACGAATCGGGACACTGCCTGTCTTAGACAGGGACTGTGAATGAATGGCTACCGGTTGAAACGCTTGCCGAAACCATATTGGAAATCGCTGGCCTTTCAGTCCCTCCGTCCATGGAAACTGGAACGTCTCCCGAAGGGCAACCTACGCAGATGCCTGATAGAGAGGACGAAAACCAAAGAACTAGTCGAGGACTGCCTCCAGACCACGGAGCTGGTATACAATACCCGCTCTCCTCATACTCTTTCTTGGACAAACAACTTTCTTCCCACTCTCGCCGCAGCAGGACTCAGATTCGAACGTGTGTCTTTCTCCGAATGGCTCGAACAACTTGAGTCCCGCCCTTCAGAAGCAAGCCAACGTAGAAACGCAGGAAGAAGTAATTATGTTGAAAATACCAACCACAACCCTGCGGTGAAATTACTTTAGTACGAAGACTGGACTTTACGACGACAGCAAAAGTGTGATCTTTGATTGATAAAGCGAAGAGAGACACTCCTGCATTAATAAGTGCTCCTCATGTCGTAGATAGTGGGCTTGTGGATCTGATGGTCAGCCGTTGGATGAACTGGTGGACAATGGCCGGCAGTCAAGCAGCTCCTTCACGGGGATCCAAGTGAAGACTTTGGCTGTTAGGTGCTGCGCTTGATGGCAGGTCTAGAGGCAAGAATCAGCTCACAGGCTTCTGCATTCTTTTGTAACTTGTTTGATCGGTGGTGGAATTAACGAAGTGGATTCAGGGACTGACCACGGGGACAACAATGAAGCTTTATATCGAAAGAAATTAGTGCCTTGAACCCTTTTCGAGTATGACCATCCACGGACCGACTGCCTGTCCAAGCGGATTTGCTGAAGTGAAAAATCGAGAGACTGCTAAGATATGAAAGCGATAGACTAGTTGCGCTCTCGTCGTGAGTAGTAGGATGGCTTTGATGTACATGAATTGTTATCAACAGGTCTCCCAGCCTTGTTTCTGAGTGTGTTATTCTCCTACCACCTCCGACGCGCCATTATCAGGAAAGACACCTCTCGCTCCTAATTTCATACTTGAGACGGTCAAGAATCGTCCGAAGCCTCGGAAGCATCTTATAGATCGGCCCAGGGTACCTGGCGGATAAGATTACAGAGCGGGAGGCGCCGAAGATACTGTACCTTACGCTAGGCCTTGAGCTTCGGCAAAGTTGCTCCGTCCAACCAGAGTAATTTGACCAGAAAGCCCAGTACAAATCGGCGGCATGAACTCAATGGACGACACCACCACCACCACCAACAACGGCGATGAAGCCGATGATCCCGAATCCCACCTTCAGGATGTAGTCAACGACGTGGATCTGGACAGTGCAACGGAAGAAGAACCCTTGACTCTCGACCCAAGTACGTACTTCCCCTCCATACATTCCCTTCTCTCTCCTCTCTCCTCCACAGACACCCTCTAACACGCGTGCCTTCAGCGCAGGACCCCTCCCTCGTCGGCCTTCGCGAAATCTCTTCGCTTGCCTCCTGGTCCGTCTCGACCCACAAGCCCTCCTGCGGCGTCGACGCCCTCCGCAACCTCAACCCGAGCCAATTCTGGCAGTCGGACGGTCCGCAGCCGCATTTGCTCACCGTACACTTTTTCAAGTTGGTCAAGATTGTCAAGATGAGGGTCTACTTGGATTTTCTGTTGGATGAGAGTTATACGCCTACGAAGATGCAATTTTGGGGTGGGACTGGGATGTATGATCTTGTGAGTCCCGATCTCGCTCGATCTGGAAGGGGAGGATGCGGACTGATGATGGGGGGGTGGAATAGGTTCCGTTCTACGAATGGCGTGGTGAAGAGCCGCGTGGCTGGATTGATGTCGATCTTGAGGGCGTCGGTGTGGGTGGCAAGGCTGAGCTGAGGGCATTTGTGGTGCAGGTACGCGTGTTGGAGAACCATCAGAATGGAAAGGATACGCATGTTCGTGGCGTGCAGATCTTTGCGCAGGACGACAAGATTAAAAAGTCGAGAGCCGCAGTGGCTGACGAAGATGGGAAAAAGAATGGTGTTGAGGGAGTTGAGGCTATGGGCATGGAAGAACCGGATTGGATGCAAGATCCCGAAATTCGATGAGACATCGGGGACCAATTTCTTCTGCTGGAATGGAGATTGAGTCCACCCGGAATGTCAGCAAGACAATGATGACCCACATACCGCACATCGATCCAAGGGTCACTGGCACCTGGAGTTTTGGGTGGATATGCTCTCTATGGGCTGCCATAGTAGGAGCTTTTGCTTCTATCCAGACAAGATCTTGGACAATTCTTGAGCAACGTGATCGCCAACCTGCTTGGTGGTCGACTTTCCTCCAATGTCCCCCGTGCGCACATTGGCATCGATCGTTCGCCGGACCGCCTCCTCTATTGCCTTTGCTTCTTCTGGTTGATTGAAAGAGTATTGAAGCATCATAGCCGTTGATAGGATCATTGCCACGGGATTGACTTTCTCCTGCCCTGCGATATCAGGAGCCGAGCCTGTCCGATCTTATTAGCAACCATCCGAATTCCTCGATCTTTCCACAGCACTTACCGTGTATGGGCTCATAAATCCCACTGACCACACTTTTCCCATCCGGCACCCCATTCAAACTCGCACTGGGCAACAAGCCCAAACTTCCAGGTATCACACTCGCCTCATCGCTTATGATATCCCCAAACAAGTTACTCGTGACAATAACTCCATTCAGGGCCCTTGGATCCTTGACCATCAACATAGCTGCACTATCAATCAAATGATGCCCAAGCTGTAGTTGCGGAAACTCGTTCTTCATAACCTCGCTGACAACCTTCCTCCACAGCCGACTCGTAGCAAGCACGTTGGCCTTATCCAAACTCCACACTTTCTGCGGTGGCTCCGTAGCCATAGCCAAATGCGCAGCTAATCTCGTCACGCGCTCAATTTCCGCCCGTGAGTAGGGTTCGGTATCCCAAGCGTACCCGTCGTTGTTTTCCTCCTCTTTCCGCTCTCCGAAGTATATGCCCCCGGTCAACTCGCGAATGATGGTAAAGTTGACGCCGCGGCAGATGTGCTCTTTGAGAGGGGAGATGGAGGTCAGGGAGTCGGAGGCGAAGTTGCAGGGGCGTAGGTTGCCGAAGGTGTTGAGTTCTTTGCGGAGCTTGAGGAGGCCTTGTTCAGGGCGGACGGGGCCGGTGCCATACTTCTTTTATGTGGAGAAGGGGTCAGAGTCTGCTTGGAAGCATGTTGTAGATGGAAGGGAAAGGAAGGCGTACGGGGCCACCTATTGCGCCTAAGAGGACCGCGTCTGCTTTTTTGGCTGCGGCGAGGGCTTCGTCTGTGAGAGGGGAGCCGGTGGCGTCGATGGAGGCCTGAAATCATTGTCAGCGGAAACTGCTAGCTGGAAGCATTTCAAGAGCGTAACACACCCCGCCTAGCAGGTGTTCTTGGAAGTCGAATTTGATGTGTGGTCGTTCTTTCTCTACTACCCGAAGGATCTGGATTGACTGGTATGAGCCGACAATTCTCTTGCCTCGTGGGTAATTGAGCTGGGCGATGGTACCTTCAATGCTTCTGCCGTGACCTACAATGTCCATCGTCAGTCATGGCGTGTTTTGAGGTATCTTTGGGGGGAGGGGGGGGGGGTTCTACCTCTGGGCCGCAGTAGTCCCCAGCGAAGACGACAATATTGTATGGAGGCATTCTGAGGGTAGATGAATTGGCAGGAATACGGATGGAGCGGGCAGAAAGTACGGGTGATTTGTGCATCTACGAGAAGGGAATTTGTTGTGTCACGGATTCGTACCTCGGAACGCCGTCATCGGAGCCGCCGGCGACACTTCGGGAAATCTTTCGTGTCTGGCTCTTTGGCCCGAAATCTCACCAAGCGAAAATGATGGATACGCAAAGTAGCTTTTTACTTGCATGAAATTGCCAGGGGGATGTCTGAATCTGATGGGTTCTTTTCGATATAGTGACAAGGAAATCAAGAAGTCAGTTCTGCATCACTGAGGGCAATAGCCGCGACCATCGAAGTTTGATGGTCCTCCGCAATCTGGATTTCTGTATCGTCGTAGGCCTTTTGCAGCGTGACCATAGCGTTTATCATTCCCTCTATGTCAAACGCGGCAAAGCGAATGAAATTCTGCAGCTCCTCCTCCGCAACTTTCACCTCATTAGAACTCAGTCTCAATTTGTACGCCCTTTTGTGGGATTGCTGCAACAGCTCCTTCGCTGTTTTCAGAACCTCCCAGAACATCTGAACTTTCTCTGGATATCCTGAAGCTGCGAGTGGCATATGCATCTTTTGTGGCGACTTTTCGATCTTGGAAAGCCACCAATGTACTGCGGCTTCTTTCCGTGGTTCGCCGTCCACGCCAACGAGATGTACCTGCATATCGCCCTCGTAAATCTCAGATATCCCTTGATCTCCTAGGTCATACCCGTTGTACCAACTCCGCGGTTGGTAGGCTACATGGTCTTGATTCTCCGGTTGATCAAGGACCCACCACATTGCGTCTATGTCGATGTCTTCAGTTGTGTCAACGTCTGGCCTCGACTGCGGAAACGTGGCGACTTGTGTAAGAAATTTGATGCTCCATTCGCTTACCTGCACGAAGAAGACTCCATAATTGAGGTCGTTCCAGTCTCTGCCAGCGATGAAGTGGATGTCAGGAAAAGAATCTTCCCGTGGCAGGAACATCGTCCATGGGATGTTGTTGTTGATGATGATAGTGTCCGCGTCGAACCAGCTATGAAAAGAGGATTTAGAACAGGCGGATTTCTTGGAAACTTTGTACCTCTAGGGTGACGAGTTACAGATGGGTCAACACTCACACAATCCAATCCGCTCGTTCATGAGATACTTTTGCCATTTCCGACACCAATAAGGACAGGACATGAAGCGATTTTTCAAGCACGAGTCTGATCCAGCCTGCCTTCCCGCTGAGGTCATGCTTTAAGATGTGGGTTGGGTACCCCCATCTACGACCGTGATCAAGGTGAGTCTCCATGCAGGGCTCAAATATCGACATGTGTTGGTCTCCAATCATTATGCTTGCCTGCCGGATTCGAGAACCCTTCTCCCAATTCTGCATCTTGTTGTCGGGTATGTGTACTTCGACTTCGCCGGTCTTGGAACCAACGGCGTTTTCAACGTCAGACTCGTGCCATTGTGCAGACGTCAAGAGAGAGCGCGACAACAGATGCCGTTCCGGCGGCGTAGACTTGCGGCTCAATAAATAAAGAGTTGAGAGGAAAGAGACGAGGACAAGCCATCTCCCTTTCTTCCTCACCGGGGCAAGCATAATATGAAGAGGAAGCTTCTCTCCCAAACTGAGGACCCAGCAGAGATCGCGGCATGGTACCTATATATCTGAGCGTTCCAGCATGAAGTACGTTGACCTATGCAGTCAAGAGACTCGCGACACACTTGATACACGAAGCGTCAGTACGAAACAGAAAGATTGAGCTTCTTAGTACGGAGTCCTGACTAGGGGTAGGCTAGCCGTCAGAAGAAATGGCAGTCATCAATATTGGCATCGTCTGAATTTTGTCAATTTATGTTATAAAAAGTGATTGGCGATCGATGTGGGCAGAAGCAGCTACAGCAAATGGTTTCCACGACGAGAAACTTGCTCTCTTTGCTGTTACTGTCGAGATTCAAGGGACTCGTAGACTACGTTTACAGCTGCCACTTTTTCTCGCAGAGAGCCTAGGGGCAAGTTCTGCGGGAGGCACGGTCATGACCGGCCGTGCCTAGCGTCTTCTTTGCGCAGATCTGAAACAGAAGCCTACGACATACATAGTGATCTCATTGGAATTCAACCATATCAAGAGCTGCCGAACGCTTTAATATAAGATAGAAATCCTGATGCGATCTTTGGTTGGAGGCAAACACTCAGGGTTAGGGTTACGAGCATCGGCAATTTTCTCCTGCTGTGGTCATGGAACCGTCATGCATGTCTGTGCCTGCACCTTACTCTGCAGGTCTCTTCAAGTCACAGTCTCTAGCTGTATCGCATCTTACATCTATAATGTCTCCATACACCGCTCCTCTGGTGCCTTCACCAATTAGCACTGATCTCCCTTCGACTCTCACCTTCCTCTCCAATCCCATCTCCTACTATTTAAATGCAGCTCCTCCTTACAACAATGTCACTCTGGGGGCACTCCTATTCACCCTACCGCCGCAAACACCGCGATTATTGCTTTTGCAGAGAGGTACGTGCTTTCGGCGTGCCTTTCCCCTGATCAGTACCGGAACTCAATCGCAAGACAATTTCGGAGAGCCAGAAGCGTATCTTTCTTCCTGAGACATGTCTGCAGCCTCGAATTTTCTGCTCAAAGAGGGAATACTGATGTCGAATTCTCCAACAGCGGGAGGCACGGACCCGAACGCTTTCTCGGACTTCTGGCAAATACCTAGCGGCTCACCTAGACCTTCTGATCCGACAATGCTACATGCCTTGGCCCGGACAATCTTTGAGCAGACAGGTCTACGCCTTGCAAGTGTGGTCACCATGTCTGGTACTGAGATAGAGCCTGCTAGTCGGGAGACTGGACACGCCCAAAGAATGAGAATGCTATTCATGGTCGAAGTCGCTGAGCTGGGACTATTGCAGCTTGATAATTCTCCATTCGAAAAGGACATGTTATATGGAAGTCAAGGACTCGACATCAATTCCGTACCAGTCGCTTTGAATCTTGGCAAGCATAGACAGCACGTATGGTCGAGGGAGGAAGACCTCAAAGAGTTCATCAATTCAGGCTTGTATCCAATTGAAGAGAGGGCTCAGTATCGTATGATGCTGGAAGCTTTCGGGCTTCACAATCAAAATCTTGCGTACCTCCACTCTTTGAACCAACGAAGCCAAACTGCCAGCTCGAGTCATGGGTTACCCATATGAACGGGTAAGACGAGCTGGCATCCATATCTCACCCTCGTCTCCTTATCAGCGCTATGAGATCGACCCCAAAGCTTCGGAAGTGACAGGAATTCAAGATCAAAGCGTTGGTCTCGAAACAAGGATATCCGGTAGGAGCCGGATCGCATCACGTCAGCTGACAAAAGTCTTCCGACACCACTCGTGATCCGGCAGCAAGGGTATTCGTCGATCGAAAGAGCATGACCAACGAGTACGGCCGCTTGCCGTACCTCGTCTATCAATGCAGACCAGCAGTAACCAATAACACCTAAATCCAGATGCTGTTCGGAGCTGGCTGTGCTCTGTAGACACTTGAGACTACTACAACTTTCCGGATGAGGCAGGTCTTAACTCGGCAGCGAAAAATTCTTTCGAGCGTGACCTGGGGTCGAATATGGTTATGCACGATTATGGGTATGTACGGCCGAAGAACTCAGCAGCCGAACGTCATGAGGGGCAAGTGACATATACAACCGCGGCTTACTATCTTATTCTCCGTTCTCTTACTGCATGCGACAAGGGTTGGACGCATTTTCACGGGTTTCTGCATTTTTCATTGTGATAGCTCACTTTGCTGGCGATTGCTAGGGCCGAGACATTGCGAAAAGCAAACGCCACAGAAAGGTCGCTTGATGTTTCCTGCTGCCACGTATGTCCGCGCTAAACTCGATATCGTATCTCAAAATGCGAAAATCTTTAATCTTTTTGCAGGGAAGTTTAGAGGTGGCTACCCTAAGCAGATCATCAATAAGCAATGGCTTCAAGAATGTCTGCGAACTTTTCCATTCCGCCAAAAGAGATTCCCGGTTGCCTCGTGCTCACCATGCGAGGGCGTTGGAATGCACGTCCCCGGAATACCTTGGGCTGCATATCTCTTTTGTCCTTTCCAATGTAAATCGATCTCCAAGATCAACGAGTCGGTGCTACCATCATGTTCCATGTATCGCTCCTCAGGTGGCTCTTTGCTTCCACGTCTCTCTTCATCCAAGTCCATACCTGGGGTTGCAAATGTGTAAGATAGCAGCTTCGCATGAAAATGAAAGATCTGACCTGACTGATACCAAGTAGGCTCCTGAGGACAACTGCTGGCCGTCAACATCTCAATGGAATACATTCAACCAGTCTCTCTCTGGAAAACTCATCGCTGATGTCCCACCCGCTTTGCCATGCTACCCTGGCCCAGCATTCAACGCCGAAGCATGTGCTGCAGTTGACGCCGAGCTAACAGAACAGACTTTCGTAGCCGAAAATCCCATCGCACTGTCCTATCCTACGGGCTCGTGCCCGCCCATCAACGCAACCGCTGGTTCGTCGTGCACAATTGCGGATCGGCCAACGGACACATGTCCGGATGGCAATCTCACATCGGCGACACCCGTTGGATCATGCTCTATTGGGGACCAGCCAAGGTACACGGTCAATGCCACGGAGATTGCAGATGTAACCGCAGGAATCAATTTCGCACGGCAAAAGAATATAAGACTTGTGGTACGAAATACAGGGCATGACCTATTGCGAAGGTGAACTACCTTGCGTGCATCCTTCTCTGAATGCTTTCTGATGCTTTACAGGTCGACAGGCTATGGTAGCTTACAGGTCTGGATACGATATCTAAGGACAGGCATCAAATTTCAAGAAACTTATCAGCAATCCGTTGCCTGTTCCAAATCGAGTTGGAAGGGAAGTGCTTTCGGAATCGGAGGGGGTTATACTTGGGAAGATGTATATAGTGAAGCGGCGAGCAGGAACGTGATCGTTGTCGGCGGTGGCACACCGGTATGTTAGCCCTGGCTTCTTTCTGCCGGCTTCTATCTCATGTGACATTCGGGACCTGATGGAGTTCCAGAGTGTCGGCTGTCTCGGTGGCTGGATGCAAGGCGGAGGGCACAGTCCCGCAACCCATGACTTTGGTCTCGGAGCGGATCAAGTGCTCGAAGCACAAGTTGTGCTAGCATCTGGCAAAGTAGTGACGGCAAACCCTTGCGAAAATTCGGAAATCTTCTTTGCCATTCGTGGTGGGGGCCCCAGCAGCTATGGAATTGTAGTCTCGACGGTTATCAAAGCTTACCCTACAAGGAAAGTCGCTGCTCAGATATTTGGCTTTGCCCCTTTGACTGCGAATGACTCCTCGGCATTCATGGATGCTTTAGCCATCGTCCACCAAAACTACCCAAAATTGTCTGACAGCGGCTTCTCTGGCTACGGCTCCTGGTCAATATACTCTCCAAGTCCATTAGTCGGCAACTATTCTACCGGCTTCATCCACACCATCGCTGTGTTTGGGAAAACAGTCGCGGAGGCAGAAGAGCTCTTCGCTTCAACAGCAGCGCAATTACACAAATACAACAACACCAGTCTGTATATGACGACCAGATACCTCTCCTTTCCAACTTATGTCGCCTACTACAACGCACTTTCTGGTATCGTGACTCCAGTTGGGCAAACTGCAGCTTTAGGCTCTCGCTTTCTCGACCAAAAAGCTCTGACCGGCAACGCGACCGCACTGAAAGCCATGCTTCAAACCATTGCCGGAACGCCCGAGCAAGCGACATCTAACAACATTGTGTTTGTGGGAGGCGGCCAAGTTTTCACAGATGCTAGCGATCCTTACTCAGGCGTCAATCCCGCCTGGCGCCAAACTTACGTGCATAACATAGTCGCAAGAGGCTGGGCTCCAGGCTCATCGAATGCGACAATCCAAGCGGTCTATGACGATATTACTTACAACAAGACCCAGGCCATGAAAGACCTTGCGCCCAACACAGGGTGCTACATGAACGAGGCTGATCGCTTTGACCCGGACTACTTGCAGGACTTTTATGGAGAGCATAGAGCGAAACTTTCTGAAATCAAGAGGAAGTATGATCCGCGGAGCGTGTTTTATTGTCCGACATGTATTGGTAGTGAGCTTTTCAAAGTGAAGCCTAGTGGGCAGATCTGTTTGTGATGAAGAATGGGGCTTTTGGACTTAATTATGATTAGCTTGGATAATGGGGCAACGAAGGCATGGCCGAGTGGCCAATCTTAATTGAGAGAGACATGGGCAGAACATACCCTCCCTTGTCGCCTACCGACTTCGGCTGCTGTAGCAGGATCGCCCAACGGTCTAAGCTTGACGAGCCGAAAGCCAGCGCTTAAAATTCTCCGATGACAGTAAAGTAAGGCCTTTCTTCGTTCCCTCTCATCGTCGTCATCATCATCATCGAGCATTTGGTGGTCCCAGTACAATGGACAAGTAATGGCTCTCGCCTTTAGTGACTGAAAGACTTTTCTGGGATAAAGGAGAAGTTTTGCAACGGAGATGCTCGGTGGAGCGCCGAGAGCAGAGACAAGGTGGTCGGTGCAGTGACATGCTGTCCCGACTGCAGAATGAGGCTCTCGCGTCGCAGCAATTACTATTCCAGTTGCACTGCGGGTTGCAGAAAGCGTCGCGCGAGTTTCTGGGAATCGGGGTAACAGCCAGCGATGGATCGATGCCTTAGGGTTCAAGCTCTCTTCAGAGCCCCAAGACATCGCGGCACCACTTGCATCTTTCAATATCTAGTTCTACTCCAATCATTGGCCGAGCTGTCTTTTCTTGGTGTTTCTGTCTACACCGTACTTTCCCAGTAAATATTCACAGTTGACCTCGTTAAGTCGTCAACACGGAAAGAGCAATGGCTTTTAGGGTGCGAGCTTCTGCGGAGCAGTGACGGAAGGGGAACGTCGACCTTAACACCCGCATCAATACCTGTTAGATCCCTGTGTTGTCATTTGCAAACAGTCTTCACTTTCCTTAAAAACTTACACGCCTTGCCGATCCTACAACACCAGTCAATTTGATGCTGTGCTTCTTCTGCATCCGCAGACCCTCTTCTCGTCACTCCTCATCTACGTGTGCATCTTCTGACGTCGACTACCCTGCCCCTAACAGCCAATACAGAAGAGCCGGATCCACTTATGTCGTCCACCACAGGCCCTCCGTCTCCCCTAGGTACTGCAGCACATCTCCCACCCGGCGGACTGATCGCAATCGCCTGGTCCAGCGTCGTCCTCGCAGGCGCTTTCGGTACGTACATGTGCAGAGCGACTCCTTCCTATTCCGGAGCACTCTTTGTGAATCACAAGATATAATCTTGGAGCAAAAGGCTCTTGATACCCATTCGAGTCGTCTCGATGCTCGAGATTCTGACTTTAAGAAGTGATACTGATTCCAAAATTGTTGTAGTCGTCGCTCGTACTTTGATCCGTATAGTCAAGGCCGAGCGCCTTGGGCATGATGACTATTGGATCTATCTAGCTTATCTCATCCTTTGCATCAATGCTCTTCTTCAAACGGTTCAGACCCCTTATATCTACCACCTTGTACGGGTGAGAGCAGGATTGGAGCCCGCTGGCGAAGGATTTTTGAAGGATGGTAAGGCATACCTGCGCTATGAGTTCACGATCATTGGCCTCTTCTGGTCGATACTCTGGAGTGTGAGTGCACATTTCGGAGCAAACTCTCCTTGTTGGACCCTTTGTCTTGAGTCGCGAGACATGCCTCGCGGGCAGTGAGCGGGTTTCAACCCCCCAACCTGTCTTATGACCTCGGTGCTTTGCCTCAAAGATGCCATGCTGATACCGAAATGTACAGGTGAAGGCGAGCTTCTTAGCTTTCTATTGGAAAATGTTTGATGGGCTACCGAGGTACAGGAAGTGGTGGATGATGGTCGCGGGTTTTGCCTTCGCCTCGTACGTTGGGTGCTGGATTGCGAGCGCAATGACATGTCACCCGGCCTCTCTCTACTTCACATTCGGTACGGAGGTCTCCCCACGGCGACTAAAGAGGTTACTGAGATCATCAACCAGGTCAATGCTACAAGCCAATTGATGTCGAAGGCTCCACCATCTCCATAGCCTACAGCACCACGGTAGACGTTCTCACTGATATCATGAGTAAGTGCATCGTTGACGCTCACGGCCGAATCCCTCAGGGAAATGGCACAATGCTTATCACTAACCATTCGCTAGTCATTTCTCTTCCGCTGAACCTTTTGTACACCGTTAGGCTTGCACCGAAGCAGAAATTAGGTCTCGCAGCCGTCTTTTCTATCGGTATCATCATCATCTTGGTGGCTATCGCCCGCGCGGTACAGATCTCAAGAAAGGCTTTCGCGGACGGCGTCCTTTTGGCCCTTTGGGGGATCATTGAGTCCACAGTTTGTGAGTACAGAAGTCTTACCAAACCCAATCGTAATTCGCTTGACTCAATGCTGCGTGAGAATGTGTCTGATGCTGATCTTTGATTTCTTCTTCTCCGCATCAGCTGTGATAGTAGGATGCCTTCCCCCATTCAAGTCGCTCTTCAAGGGCCGTGGATCCTTCCAGCGCTACAACTTTCCAGTCAACGGCAAGAACTTGTCACGAGACTTACGTCATACTGCCATACGACTTGGCAGTGCTGATACTGGTAACGGTGCTAAGGCAGCACCGCAAGTCATGTCAAAGCCGATTGATGGGGCACCCGATGGTGGCTACGGTGATGGAATTTACGTACCACACGGAGCTATTGGTGTGAGGAGTGATTATGTGAGTTTTAGCTTGGGGGCTTGAGAGCAGAGGTGACATGACTGATTAATTTGTTTGTAGGAAGTGAGGGGCTATGAGAATGAGCCATGATCTGCTGCCCTAAAGTCTGAACCCCTGTTTGCTAATTGTTGCCTACAAAATCGATAGCTAGAAATCAGAATCAAAGTAAAAAAATCTAATCCATACCAGGCTCTATCTGCTGCGGGAAAGAATGATGAGCACTTGAAAGTAGTGGCAGAGGTTCTACTCAATACCTTGTCCATATTCTTCAATGTAGTCTCAAGATATTGCAAGCATATCTCAATAGTGCAGAACAAACTCTCGGAGTCGGTGCTCGTGCTACAACTACAGTCTATCGGAGAAGACCACTGCATGGGTGTACGAATACAAAAACCTTCGCGTCCGTCGCTGGGACATAGTTCAACAGGGTACGACGTAGCGTAATTATCTCATCAAGAATATGAGGTTGGCGTTACCCCTAAGCAATGCTCGAAAGGCCACTTTTTCAATCAAGCCATATACGTAGCTGTGCATCAGTGAACCTGGTCATTAACGATTATAGCTAAGCAGTAGCTAAGCTATGCCAAGGTATGGTTATCTGATGAGAAGTAGATATATATGGTTCGACTTGACCCCGATCACGCTGTGATGCCGAATTTGGTGATCATATGGGAGAGAAACAGTCAGACCGCCATGCCTATCATTACTCCGATAAAATTCCCCATACTTGGCGCTGCACTGTGTGCAATAGTGAACTCACAGACGAAAAATGCCCGAGCGTGCACAAATGCCCAATGGGTTACCACTTGAACGGCAAATGCCTTGACTGTGGTGAGGTGTGTGCATGAGACTGTTGTTCCGGAGAGGGAGGATATTGCCAGATTTGCGGACTGGAGTTAGTAGAAGATGACTGTGGACAAGGTAAGAGAGGTGTGCCCAATGCCAGTGGCAGCTCGAGTGGGGCAACGAAGGCACGCGCAACTCGCAATGCGTCCAAATGGCATCCATCTATCGCCATATTTCAACAGTGCCATCGACTGATTTGCCTAGTCTTTCCTACAATACTTCCGAGAATCTGGTCTACGCGGAGTCATCACAGAAAAAATGGGTTTCTCTGGTAATTACCTACTACCTCGTCCGCTCCAGCGAGCTTCTCTCAACGCGCGGGGGCCCGGAAATGCTGTTGGCAGAAAGCATGTTGACAGATTGTTGGAGTTGGACGTTAATCGGTGATGGCGAAGGTCACGCCACTACTCTGATCCTAGGTCATCACAGCTCCCGGTACTTGCTGGAAGCGGACAAAAATTCAATTGTAGTTCGATTATCCTCTCTATGTGTAGTCTCAGTAATTCAGACTCACGGCTAGCCGGGGTACCTATGGCCAGCCCTACACTCGTGCCTCGCTTCGGGGACTAATCATATCGTAGGCTTATTACAATATACCCCTCCCTTAGAGTCTAAATAAAAAACCCCCAAATCGCTATATTAATCGTTAATTTATATAAATTCATCATAATAATTACCTCGTTAATGGGAAGTCGCGACTTCCTCTAATTTTTCAGTTATTATTATATAATCTTTTAATATTAATTAAGAGAGTAATAAATCTTTCGAGGTCGCTAAATAAGTATATAAACTTTTTATTATAATCGAATAGCTCGTTATTATCATATAAGCTTATTCGAATATACGTTCTCTATTAACGATTATAATATCTATCTTTAATCGATTATCTTTTAATAATTAAATTTTAGACGATAATATATTATATTTAATATTATTAAAAGATTATATAACGAGTTAAATATAATAATTAGATTATAAGTTTAATCGTATTTATATCTAATAAAAATCGAGTATTAAAGTTATTCCCTCTATATATAGATTTATTAACTTAAAAGTATATTATTTAGAAGTTAAAGAAAGTATAAAATATATATCTTAAATGATTTTAACGCGCTTAACGCGTTTAAAATAGATTTAAATAAATAAGAAGACTATAAAGAGTACTTAAATACGCGATTTTCTCTTCGATAACGATAGCGAGGTATTTTCGAACTATATATACGAAGATTAATATTAAAAGTTCTAGATATACTAAGATAAGGATTTAGATAAGATTAAGTATTTAATATACTTTCAAATTTTATAAATAGTATTATTATTCTTTATTTTAATAAGTATTAATACTCTATATAATAGCGACGCTATATATATATATAAAGTATATATATATAAAATATATATATGCGAAGTATATATATAATAGCGATATTAATAGAGTATATAATAGTAATAATATTAAAGTATTAGTTATAGCGTAGAGAAATAGAGGGAGAGTATAAAGATTTTTAATATATAAATCTTATTTATATAGTATAATAGATAGAAATCTTCTTATTATTCTCTATCTTAATTATCTTTTATTAATATATCTAATATATAAAGTATTAATTATAATAATAAAATTTAAATTTAAGTATTTACTTTAGCTGAGATTAAGATTACTATTAAAATTATTAGTTGATTTTAAAAATAAGTCTATAATAGAGAATACGATTTTATTATATCTAAAAAACTCTTAATATTATATATTATAAATAAGTCTAGATTCGAATATTCTCTAATTATTATATCTATATTTAAAAGTATAATTCTAGATATTATATAAAAAAACCGCTATAATCGTAAAAAGACTTCTTTTATACTTACTATTAAATAAGAAATCTTATTTATAATAATATTATAAATACTTAGACGTAATAATTTCTAAGTCTATAAAATTATTAAAAAATTATCTCTTATAAAAGCTATAATAAAAGTATATTATTAATTCGCTTTACGATATAAGAATTAAATTATAAAAGATTAAAAGAGAGTAATTTAAAATAATAAAATTAATATAATCTTAAATTCTTAGCGAGAAAGAGTATATATATAATATTAATCTAACGAGATCTTCGTTAAATCTAATATACGATATTATTTCGTAAATATTATAAAATTTATATTCTAAGAGTATTTTTTTTATAATAAAAAGAGTTCTTACTATATTTAGAAAGTTAAGATCGCTATTAAAAAGAAGAAGTATATTAAAAATCTCGCTAAAATTAATATTACTCTAAAATCTAATATTAAATAAATTTAGAAATTTAAGATTAATATAAGATATATAAATCTTTAAAATTCTTCTAATAAGAAGCTTATATAAAACTTTATTATTAAGATTAAAAAAATTATTATTAAGAAGAAGAAGAGGGGAATTAATTAATATCGCTATTAGAAAAAGATATATACACTTATATTTCTTATACTTCTTCTTTTTATTAAATATAAATTCTTATTCTAAAGCTTCTAAAGTTCGCTTAGAAATATAAATAAAAAAGACTTAATATAATAATTATAGAAGATAAAGCTTTAATATATATATTAAAGTATTAAAAAGTAATATTTATATTATTTAATATTATTAGAATAGTTTAATATAATAACTCTTTAAATCTTAATATAATTAAATCTTATTAATTATAAATAAAATATTATATTATTTAAAAAGATATATTAAAAATTTATAAGAAAGTCGAAAGACGATAGCTATATTATTAAAATTACGAGTTTATTTAAAAGAGAATTTAGAAGTAAATAAAATAAATATCGAGATATATTATAAAGATAATATATTTTAAAAATAATAATAAGTATAGAGAAAGTTATAAGAGAGGTAATATATAATTATATAACTTCGTCGAGCGAGCTAATAAGTATATACGTAATTATATAAAGTATTATTATTAAATAAATATAACTATATAGAAGTGCTAAGAATATTAAGAGTACCAAGTATTTTAGCGCTATCTAGGACTTTTAATATCGACCTCCGTACTGATCTCTTTATAGCTTGCAGGAATATCCTTCCTCCTAACAAACACGAAGTTTTGAAACATTTAGCGGACCAGTTCTGGAGCAAAGAAAAAAAGTTATATATTTAATTCTCGGGCATAAAAGTAGGGAGATAACCTTCATGACGACGACGCAGACCTCCCTATATTCAAAGACGTCTTTTTCTACGTTCTATATATCTATAAGAGACTCCGACGCCGTGCGAGATATTCTTATTTATCGATATCGCCGCCACTAATATCTGACTTTATATTAAAAGGATGAATTATCTCCGCTTCGCTCTCCGCTCTGCTCTCCGCTTCGCTCTCCGCTCTGCTCTCCGCAAGTTCGATCGCTATATAATTGCTTGCATGTATATATGCTTGCTTGCTTATTTGCCTGGTCGTCTAAAAAATGAGAGGAGACTGCGGTGTTTAACCGAAGTAATGAACTGATTGGCGAGGCTACGCATTTTCCTCAACACGCCGTGCTGTCGGTCCGGCGAGTATCATGGCGGTTACCCCGAGAATTGTGTACTTTAGGGGAATTCCTGTATAGTGTCTACGCGTCTATTGAGACGTATGGTGTTTTTGAGTATTGGTACCGCTGCTATGGCTGAGTTAGCTGAGTTTTTTAGTAGAATAAAATTAAAAGCCTACTTCTTAACCACTGCACTATAGCTTCTAATTTAACGAGGGCCTATTTGATTATTTATTCAACTTTTTTTAAGAATTTCAAAAAAAACCATATCACGTAGTTGCGTATTTTTGTTAAGGATCATATGTACGTAGGGTGTGAATATTATATATCGGGCAATACACTAAAAAAATAAGTCTTGGCAGGGTTTCCTACTCAGACCCACCTCAAGGCCGGTGGGGCCAAGCTGAGACTACTCTATGTGCTATGATGCTCATCATGACGTGACTTGATTCGGTGAGGGTGGAAAATACAACTACGGTATGAAAGCTCGAAGTACGGTAGAGATATGCATAGCCGGCGGCCCCCTGGAACCGCGGGTTACATGGCCACGGTGGCCCCCAATCCATCATGACGGCTGAGATGGCGTAGCCGATGAACGGGATGAATATGCCTCCTGAAGCTCTGAACAGTGATGAAAGTGGTTTTACCCACGAAAAGCCTTCAAGCGACCAAGTACCTCTTTCGCGGGGTTTTCTCAAAGCTTTTGTTAAAGTAGGAATTCAAAAAAAAGGAAGCAGCAAGGCATCTTACCAACACGAAAAGACAAGACGTTGGAGTTTGACCTTCTCAGAAGCTCCTAAGATCATTGGTCCGCGTGATGGTTGTTGCTAAATGCTAATGCTCGGGCACAACGTACGCTAAAATACGACCCCTAAGGTAATGATCCCCCCCGTCTCCTTCATAAGCGGGCCCACAATGTTGGCCGTGCTTTGCATCTCGAAGCTCCAACACCGTAAACCTTTGATGACCCAACGATTGGTGAGTGTTTCAGACTTGTTCCAACCACATATGGCTGGATGGCTTACCTAGGATTGATCCCCCATGTCTGGCGGCATGCCGTAAATATTTCGAGGCTCAGAGGCAAAATTATTGATTGGATCACCAACGGGCAACGAACAAATACCCTGCTGCGCCATGCGCCATGTGAAATTTGACCACTTCTCTCATATGCACAGCGGCTCTTGATCAATACTCACATGAGAACCTCTCCCACGCATTGCTCTCCAAGGCTTCGCTGCCCGTGTTTCATGACTGTATCATGAATGCTTTCCCATATGAAGTAATACATACAGCCTTCTCAACCACTTGTCTGCGCTTCATGGCTATTCTTGTCAATTGAGCCTATCAAGAAAGAGACCTTTTCCTCATTAAACTCATAAGTCAGATAAGCTCATCACTGGATACCTACCTCTACGCCTACATTGTCATCCATGACCCTGTTACAGCTTGCGCCGGCATTTGACCTCTCTTAACCTCTACAGCAATGGCGATCAAATATCGAGCCGCCGAAATGTCCATTAGCATCGATCAGGTCCCGGCAGATGATCCCAACTTATCGGTACCGGGAGAGATCGCTGCACCTGGACAGAGTTCGGTGCCCACAGCCTTCGTGACAGATGCACCGGCTTTCGCCACAAAATCATCCACCACGCTCAGTACTCCCTCATCAACTGCTGCTACAAGCAGTCAAAGCTCCACAGCTGCGGCACCAACCCAGAGCGCAGCTGCGTTTAAGGGTGGAAGTGGACTGAGTCATGGCGACATCGCGGCCATAGTTATTCCGATCGCACTTCTGGCCATACTAATTCCGATCCTTGTTCTATGGTATCTCGACCGTAAAAATCGAACCGCGGCAGAGAAAAGAGCCAGTCACCGAAGTTCAAATGAGGCCATGCTCCAGAAGCATTCGAGTATCCAGAAACCACCGCAGCCAAGAGGTCCCAAACCAGCCCGCCCTGAACGGACACCCAGAAGGAGCGTAGTAGATCCCCCAACACCAGAAACGCGAAACTCACTTGGCCTGTTCAACTTCGAGCTATCGCCTCCATCGACGCCGGGCATGGGATGGATGACGCCCAATCCTAGGTTTAGCATTGCACGAGCGCTTCAACTGCGCCGTTCTCAACCATCCGTCGTTACATCTCAGCCTCGTACTTCACGGGGAGAGTCTGATCGCCCTCGAACGGGAGACTCAGAGCGCTCAGAGCGACGCCAGACAAGGACGAGTATTTTCGACCCACCACCGCCTTATGTCATTGATACTGCGTCGCCCAAATCGGCATCACGTTTTGCTCCTTTGGAGCGGATAGGAACGCTTCAACATGCGGACCGTCCCCATGGACCCACTATGCAGCCGACAATGGCCCCAACGCTGCCTGCCGTCGCTATCACCAACGGCGCTCTTGATGTTCAACAACCAAGGTATACACCCCGCCATACACCCCGCGCATCGAGCGAAATCCTGCAGCTACCGGATGCCTATGGTCGTGTTCATACGCGGTCACCCTCGCCTACTCTGTCCATGCATAATGGCTCTAATTTAAGTCGTCCATTCTCATACGCAGCGCCTGAGAGGATCTCAGATGTTTCCGGGCTATCAGACGAGCCGGAGCCATGGAGGAGGATGAGAGAGTCTAATGGATCGTCGGTTATCTCACCTATTGACAGCGATGAGAGCTCCACGATACATCCCCACCAAGTCCTATGAACCTGTATATCAAATTCGGAGTCAGTTTTGCGTATTCGAGGGTTTATCTCGAGCCTTGTAATATGTCTAGTCAGCGAAGACTCCTAAGACATTTTCTCAGGGCTTGAGATTGAATCTCAAAGGGGGGTTACGGACTCCGAAAATAAGTACGCAGCATGGCGGAATTTTTGAGCTTTCATGATATCCATTGCAGCATCTGAGCGTGTAATATACTGTCACTTTAATGTTTGAAGAATTAAAATAATCAAATTTCATGCAATGCCTTGAGCCCTTTTCTCATGAGACTGTAGCGGCTAGCCAATAGCGATAAGGTGTCCGTATTACATAATCGATCATTCGCTCATGACGAGCAACCTACCACGTCTGTAATCGACTGTTGACTTGAGACGTATCATAAAATCCAACCTTTCGACATGACGAACCTCCTTTTAAGTTCTTGAGCACACTGTCACCAACTAACGAAAACAGATCGACCCAAAGTCTAGGACGAAGTCCTGGCAGGAACGATTTGGTTTGAATTCCATCTCACGCATTGGCTATGGACCGAGTGAAGAATGTGGCCAAGGGAGGTTGGCATCCAAGTTCAGTACGGTCGGAACACAAGCATATCAATCAAGTGGTATGCTGTTTCACTTTCCCGGTTCGGCTCCTGGAGAACGCTGACAATAAATGGATAGGCGGGATGGGTAGGTCACGGCAAAGAACAAAACAGTAGCCTCAAAGCAACAGATCACACCTCTCGCCCTCTCACATCCCTGAAGGATCCCGACGCGTTCGGTCCACCTCCTAAGAATGTCAATTTCCATGGTGGGGCAGCAGTCCCTGATGCTGCCACGCCTGACCGAAGAGGAATAGGAGCACCATTGCCCGCAGAAGAGATACGAGCGATGGAGGCAGAAGAGCAAAGATCTGCGCAAGCCGTTCAAAAGCCTGCTCCACCGCCCGTCCCATATCGAGCAAACACAACAGGCTTGTCCACTGCAAGTCTTCCCAAGCCTCCGGTACGGCGACTCGAGAATGGGGAACCATCCGCTACAGCTAGTCCGACTGCAAAACCAAAACCCTCGCTGCCTCCACGACTACCACCAAGACAGAACTCGCATCCTACAACAAACGCACCTTCACCTCCGCCAGACTACAATTCCGCTACGCAACAACCTCCTCCTCAAGACCAGTATCTCAATCAAGGAGCTTTGGGACGCCTCGGGAAAGCTGGTGTCTCTGTCCCTGGACTTGGCATAGGTGGGGGGCGGGGAGGACACGGAGGGCAGGGAAGCTCGCAGGCTTCGAACCCATGGCGTAACGAATCCAACTCGAATACACCCTCTACATCCAGCCCAACTATGACTCAAAGCCCGTCAATAGGTGGACTCAAATCCCGCTTCGGTGGATTGACCACCTCTCCTACATCCTCCCCATCTGACCAACCGCCGGCAGCCTCCCAAGGTACCTCCTTCGCCCAAAAACAAGCCGCCCTCCACACCGCCTCCCAATTTCGGAACGATCCTTCCTCGATCACTCTCTCGGACGCTCGCAGCTCCGCCGCTACAGCCAACAATTTCCGCGAACGACATGGGGAGCAAGTAGCTACGGGCTGGAAAGGGGCGAATGCTTTGAATAAGAAGTACGATGTTGCGAATCGAGTTAATGGGATCGCAGGCCAGAATGGTAGTGCATCACCAGTAAGAGAAGATGGGCCAATAACGATGCGGGACAACACTGCGAGTCCGGCTGGAGGAGGAAGTATGCCAGCTTCTCCGTGGGCGAACGAGCTGAGCCAAAGTGCTTTCAGGAAGCCGCCTCCACCTCCGCCTGTGAGAAGGACCGGGACAGGAAGCAGTGGAACGCCGCCGCCCGTTCCGATGGGGAGCAAACCTAGGACATGAAATTATGCAACATGGAACTTCCCATGAATGATAGACATGACTTATATACCCTAATTGACAATTCTAATGCGATCACCAATCCACTCGCTCCATCTTTTCCAGAGCGTCTTGTCATAGCTGTTCAAGTTGTTCAAGCATCATGTTTATCTTACAATCGGAATACCCCTGGTATCGCCCGTATGCACATACCGAAAACGCCGTCAACCGATGACTCTTTAGCGCATTGACCAAATCCCCCATCTCGGGTTCCGGCCTTCACCTGACGACAGCGTCCCCATTACTACTTTTCCCCTTCCTGCTCAAGACCCAACCCGTAAATCCACCCGCCTTCATCCCCTTCCTCCTCTCCTCGTTGATCCTCCTCACCTCATCTGCCGGCATCGGCCCCGGCGGGCCCTGCCTCTCAGCCAGAGCCCCGTCTTCCTCACCCCTCCTATACCGATAATCCGGATACGGCTCCCTGCGCACCCGCGTCGTCGGAGGCGCGTCGAACCCCGCCGCCGCCGCCGCACCCCCAGAGGCCCGCGCCCCACCCCGCCCCGTCCCCCCTCCCCCTCCCCCGCCGACCTCGCCGTACCCCGGCGCCGGCGGCCCGCCCGGCTCCCCGGCCGCGGGCACGTAGCCGTGGGTCTCGCACCCTCCGCCCCGCCAGTCGCTCGTCTGGCAGAAGCACGTCCCGGCTTGCAGTCGGGCGATGCGGGCCGCGTTGTCGCGCTCGAGGTCGGAGAAGCGGGCCGTGGAGGAGGGTTTCCTGGAGGCGCGCTTGGCGCGGGATTTTTTGATGGCGGAGTAGGAGAGGACGGAGGCGGCGATGAGGATGGATGCCATGGTGAGGGTGGATGGATGGATGGGTGGATGGATGGATGGATGGATGGATGGGGCCTTGGATGATCGTTGGAGGGTGGCGGGTTAGTTGAATCTTGGGAAGGGTGTGGCAATGGTGAGGGTACAGGTGGTGAGGCTTTGGGTTCCTAGGAATATGTTCGGTGGTGGATATGTCCAGTTGAAAAGCGACACGAGGTGCTCTTATGTATTGTTTGGGCCCGCCCCATTTCTTTGATGTCAACAATGACTCCAGTCGGGGTCTTCGGAGGCCAGTCGATGACGGGTCGTAGGGCTGCCAGAGCCCCCTATATTTCGGGTTAGCTCCGCAGTGATACGTCAACATGACTTCAGCTTCGCGATAATTACCAACACCACCATCGTATTCGCTCCTTGTGTTTATTTTGAAAGTCCCGGTGCCGTTCAGTAATGCTTCAGTTCGAGATCGAGCGTGGCTTGGGCACCGGGATGTCAGAAATCATAACGCTTTACTGTTGCAGCTGGTGAGTTTAAGACTGGGGGAACTTTTGTGCAACTCGACCCCCAGTGAGACCGTCTCTTTTTTACACTCGCCATAATCCCTATTCCCTCATGACTTATTTTCATGAGTAGGTGTACACTCTTGGTATCCGTCTCACGATGATCTGTCCGCACGTGTGTTTGTGGGGACCCCGCGTTACTTGTTGTTGGTTTCCGAGTGGTCTCGGGGTCAACAATGTCATGCTACCATTTCTTTTTCCATCTCCTTCCTTTTATGTCTCGAATCGAAGTATCGTTTTAGATATCTGCCCTCGTCTCCTGCTCTGGACTTCGGGTATGAGCAGACCACCTGTTGGTCGACGCTTGGGCCCCCATCAACTTGGTAGGCCAGGACAATGTCTTCTCAAAAAGTGTACCACCAGCGTTCCGAAAAGGCATGTGGGAAATACCTTGGTCACGACGGTGGCCTTGCATCATTCGAACAAGCTGCAAATATCATGGGGCTCGTCCCCGCATTCTCTGCTTCATACATCCGCTGTGCCTGTATAAAGTATATCTTTCCTCTCTAAATCATGCTTCGTCCGTGTCTTCTGCTGCTTCAATACGTCTAAGATGCGGCCTGTTATTTTACTCTTCCAATGGCTTTGCACAAGTACCCTCGCAGCAGCCCAAACTTGCCCAGACTACGCCGACTACGCTGCTGCTCCACATGCACCTTTCTCGGGTGGAGTATATAATCTCTCCTACCAGAGGCCTGCGCCTAGTTGCCGGACTTTCACATCACCAGCTGTCGAAAGCACCATTGCCCGTCTGAATTCAACAATTACAGACCCCGACCTTTCCCGCCTGTTCGAAAACAGCTTTCCCAATACTTTAGACACTGCGATCAAATGGAAAGGGTACGCTGCAGACAACGCAGACGAGGAGTTAACGTTTGTCATTACGGGAGACATGTATACAGTATTTCACTCAAAGAGTATGCAATATGGCTGATAAGATCCCGAAGAAACGCTATGTGGCTCCGGGACTCGGCCAACCAAATGCAGTCCTACCTCTCTCTCCTCAATACCACCACTGACACCTCTAACTCATCCAATGACACCATAGCCTCACTCTACCGAGGCGTAATTAATCTGCAATCCCGTTATCTCCTATCAAATCCCTACTGCAACTCCTTCCAGCCACCCTCCGAATCCGGCCTCCCACCCTCCATCAACAGCGCCGCTACCAACGACGTGGTGACCCCGTCATACGCCAATACCACGGTCTATGAGTGTAAATACGAGCTCGATTCCCTCGCCGCATTCCTCGAGATCAGCACAGACTACTACACGGCCACCAACGACCTCGCCTTCTTCTCGAAATACAGTTGGGTCGCTGCGGTGCAAGCCGTTTTAAACACCGCTCAATCAATGACAATCTCAACCTACGCAGCAAACGGCAGCGTCAACACCCTCCCTTACACCTTCCAACGCCTCACCACCTCCGCCGAGGATACCCTCGCCAACAAGGGCACCGGAAACCCCGTCCAAAACGGTACCGACCTCATCCGCTCCGCCTTCCGACCTTCAGACGACGCATGCATCTACCAATTCTTCATCCCCGCCAACATGATGTTCGCCCACCAGCTCAACACCACCTCCGCCCTCCTGACCGCCATGGGCACCGCCAACAGCACGGACCTAGCCACCGAACTGACCGCCCTGTCCGCCTCCCTCAGCGCCGCAATCACCCGGCACGGAATCTTCCCCGACCCCGTCCACGGCGCCGTCTACGCGTACGAAGTCGACGGCTACGGCGGACGCAACATCATGGACGACGCCAACATCCCCTCCCTCCTCTCCGCGCCCCTCATCGGCTACCTCGCCCAAAACGACTCCGTCTACCAGGCAACCCGCGCACTCTTGCTCAGTGCCGACACCGACCCCTATTTCATGCGCGGCCCCGTCATCGACGCTGTCGGTGGGCCCCACGACGGTCCCGGGTTCGCCTGGCCGATGGCGAGCATCGTGCGCATCTTTACGAGCGGGGATGACGGGGAGCTGGCCGGTTCGTTGAAGGAGCTGGTCGGGTCTACGGATGGTCTTGGTGGGTGGTCGGCTTGCGATGTCTTTCCTTTTATCTTCTTCTTCTTCTTCTGCGAGAGACTGTACAAAACTGACCAACCCACTTTCCACCCAACAGGCCTGATCCACGAAAGTGTCAACACGTTCGATCAGTCGCATTACACGAGACCGTGGTGAGCTACAACGTTGTCCCCCTCCCCCCCCCCCCATTTTCCCCTTTTCCCTTTTCGTCTTCTTTCGATGTCCTTTCCATCCGCCCCGCCCCGCACCCGCTGCCATACACACAGTGCTCCCCGTGTGCTGTGTATACTGATCGAGTGACTGTACGATATGTCTAGGTTTTCGTGGGTAAACGGCCTGTTCGGACAGATGGTTCTGGATCTGGAGACGCGGAAGCCGGAGATTTTGAAACTGAGCTTTCAGTGACGGACGCCGGGGGGGGTTGTTTCTTAAGAGCTGATGTTTTTTCCTTTTTGGAGTTGGGCCGGGGGGGGCCGGGGGGGTTGACGGCATTGAATGGGCGCGGTGTTTGAGAACAGGGGCAGGGGCAGTGTTGGATGATCCCTTGAATGTTGAAATCATGAGCATGGAGTTCGAGGTTTATGAACCGTAAAGCACTCTGATCGGACTGTTTCTGTGTGTTGATCGTCATGATCTCTTGGCTTGTCAGTGGTGAAGGGCATTCGATTTGGAAGCTGTCAGTAGACAGACAATATGGCTACTTTTGCTGGCAGATTGCCTGCATGCGAATCGATGATTAAGAGTGTTCATTTGGGGCGAAGTGAGGATCTTTCCGTCATAGTTCTGGGTTTAGATTCCAGGGGTTTGGAATGATCAAGGTCAGTCACGCAGTTGCGAAAGATTTTCGAAACCCAAGCACTTCGCATGCCTATGTACTTGCTATTTGGGGAATCCTTTGACAAACACAATGGAATTTATCTGTCTCATAGAACGCCCTGTTCAATATCCTTCATTTGGTCAGCACACATCCCCGTTACTGGAGCGCATAGCTGTATCCTTCGCCCCTAACCCAACTTGGGCTGCATCTCCTCCTCTGCTTTCTTCTCTTCCTCGGTCTTGGGCTCGTCCGGCACAACCTCATAGGCCCGCGCGTCCCCATCGACCTCCTTCTTTTCGCTCTGGCCCTTCTTTGGTGACTCAGAACGCTTGGAGCCACCACCGCCGTTCTGCATTTTCTTCGGGGACTCAGAACGCTTCGAGGGGTCGCTCTTCTTTGGTGATTCGGAACGCTTGGGAGCTTCAGCCTTTCCCTTGCTATCCTGTGAGCCCTTCGACTTGGGGCCTTCGCCACCCATCTTTTTCATCTTGTCCTGCAAAGCTTTCAGGTCTTCCTGCACAGTATCTTTGACATCTTTTACGCCCTTCTGTGCTGTGGCGGGTAGGTCGCCCGCCGCATCTTTTGCCTTGTTGCTAATATCTTGAGCTCCTTTCTGCGCCTTGGCTGGTAGGTCGCCCGCCGCATCTTTTGCCTTGTTGCTCATATCTTGAGCTCCTTTCTGCGCCTTGGCTGGTAGGTCGCCCGCCGCATCTTTTGCCTTGTTGCTCATATCTTGAGCTGCTTTCTGCGCCTTGGCTGGTAGGTCACCCGCGGCGTCTCTAGCTTTGTCGCTGAGGTCATGTGCGCCTTTTTTGGCTTTAGCCCCGAGGTCTTTGGCATTGGACTGTGCCTTCTCGTTGAAGTCCTCGGCACTCTCCTTTACGTCACGCTTGGCGTTCTCAAGCTTCGCCTTCAACTCTGGGGGCGGCTCAGTGTCTCCGCCCTGCCTTCCATCAATGGCTTCGCGAATCTCTCGCTCGATGTCCTTGACAGCGTCTCGGGATGATTCTTTGACATTTTCTTCCTTGGTTGGTTTTGGAGGCTCAGAGTGGGCACGAGCTATGTAGCTGTTGTAGAAATACGTCATGAATAGGTATGCCAAAGGCGCGAGGTACACCAGATTCATCAGGATGGCCAACACTTGCCCAGAGGTATCGAGACAATGAACTCTTTGACTGCCCATCCGATATCTGATCTCTTCCTGTGCCTTTTCGACCTCTGCTGCATGGATGGCATCGATGCCGAACGTTTCGCCTTGGTAGTTCCTCACGTTCTCTGCAAGTCCTTCTTCTCCGGCTGCGCGTAACGCAACTTTCTTGAGCCAGCTTCCAAGGCCTGCTGCTGTTGTCGCGCTGGTTAGGGCGCTGCTGAGGGTTGAAGAGACAGTAGAGGCAGTGCTCGGAAGAGCAGTGGAGAGATTATGTATGTAAAGGTATGCCTCTTCGATCGGGATGTCGTAAGCCACGAAGAGGTGGAGAAAAGCGTAGGAAGCACCGAAGACTATCTGAGCAATCTGAAGGAACGTCAAGGTTTGCTTCACGGCTTGGGGGACTCGGATGGTAAGCGCGGAGAGAGTGTAGTAGGTGTACTGAGTATAGTTAGTGATCTCACCCTTCCACTATCAATCGGGTACCTGAGTGCTCACCATGATCGTGTGCAAGAAAGAATTGACAAAGACGAACATCCAAATTGGTGGAGACATGTAACGAATCCCGGCCCACATGCACAGCATAGCGCCAGCATGATGGAACGTTTGGAGTACCGAGCTTTTCTTGCCTTTGGTGAGAATGATTGCGGTATCGAGCATCTCGTAGAATTTCGAAAGGTAGAAAAGCCATCCGTAGAAAGCGAGGCCCTCATTCCAGATCCTGCCCACGTCTGTTGAGTCCGGAATGTCTCCGGCAAGGTTCATAGCTTTATCGGTGAAACTCCAGACGCTCGTGCTGGTGTTGTACGTGGTAGCACTGCCAAGTCCGCGTGGACCCTGCATCTTGCAAAGCGCGTCGGCTGCGCCGGCAAGCCCATATTGTCCATCTAGACCAGGCCACGATTGGCGGATCGCATTGAGCATACCAATGAAGGTCCAGCCAGAGTACAATGCGAGGAAGACATTGTGGGCAACGACCAATGCCCAGAAAATGAGTGATTTGCTGAAAGCCCATGGCTTGTGTTTTCTATCCATGTTGATTGTGTTGACATAGCTCACGGTGGTCGTGTAGACTAGGGCGATTGTGATTGGGATGGCGACATGAAGTGCAGTGTTGTAAAGGTCGGTAGGGATGGTAAATGGCCGAGCGAGGGTATGGTCTGACAGTGAGGGACTGAGGGCTTGGGGGTTCTGTCCTGCTCTGTACCACAGTAGGGAGGATGGAGGATGAGTGAAATGTACCGAAGGCGCCGTCGAACTGGCCGAGGGGAGAAGCATCTTGAGCGCTCTTTCCAAGAAGTCAGTCAAAGCGAAATAAGCTCACAGTCGATTTTTGCAACTGAGAGGTTCGAAGAAGAGCTATTTGAGGTATGGGTGAAAGTGTAGCAGGAAGTGGGGAAAGCATCAAGGGTTGACGATTGGGTATGCACTGTTCGCTACCACATTGAGTTGTTAGTGCTTACCTGAATGGATAGTAACTGAAACTTGATCCAGGTGTCGTGTTGTTGTCTTGTTCCTAGGTGATCGTGTGAGGATGACAACGAGTGTGCCGCAGAGTATGAGAAAAACCAGAAAAACACGAACGCGCTTCAACATGCGCCGACAGCGCCAAGGCTTGAGGCTTGGCAACAACATACTTTAGCTTGGCAAGCTTATTATCGCTGGAAAGAAATACCCGAAATAGATCCCTACTGCTGATGAACAATCCATATTCATTTATACCTATGCATACACCGACACCTCTAGCATTCTACGCCGTGATTGTGGTCGCGCCGTGTATTCAGACGCTGCGACAATGTTGCTCTACATCGTTTTGGTCGAAGCCGGTGGTGCCGGGAAGCCGCAGTTGAAATATCATCTCCGAATGAATCCTTTCTTCAAGATCATCACACCCGTACAAGTTCAGGTGTAAGCTGCTCTTGAGGATTGAGTTGACAAATGATGAGAATAAGGGAAAACCTCCTTTGGGCCCTCATGTCTGAGCCTCTTAAGTCCTGACTCTCCCCCCAATCGTTCTGGTCATACGATCTTTCATTTTCCTCCCTTGGAATTTCCTGGTGCGTTACTTGAAGATGCAGTCTTATACCTTTGTGATACGTTTGTTTTCCGGAATATTACTTCCGAGCCTCGCTTTTGGTTTGCTGCATGGGACCCGGTCCGCAGAAAGCTAATCCACGTTGTGGATTGTGATGCATCAATTTATGCATCGACCCTTTATGAGACAACCTTGGACCTTAGCCTGTCAACAATTCTGTGCCCTCTTAAACATCTACTCAAATGGCTGACCCAGGAAAAATTCCCTTGCACATCGCGTTCGTCCCCTGTAGGTGACTATGGCGAATATTGACGAAAGGTGCTCACCTGCGATGTTGTTTACCTCCGAGGAGCTCGACATTACATTGCCCGTCACAGATGCTGCTGCAAAATCACGAGACAAGCGCAAAGCTGGTCACGATGTTCTGACAACCAGCCGTCGCATCACGCCGTCAGCAGTGACTATCGTTCCCAAGCCCAAACGTGCAAAATTTGAACCGTGGCGTCGACAGCAAGTCGCCAACGTCCGGAAGAAGGGGGCCTGTATGAGATGCCGAATCAAAAAGCTGCCTGTGGGTGCAGGCGTCTGCTTTTGGCCCAGAGGCCTCAGGCTGATAAGGCCACTAGTGTTCTGGTTCGTTGCCATGCGAGTCCTGCCAACGTAGCCGATGCAATTCTCGCATGGCTTTTGATCGATGGGAGCAATGCGTCTCCTTTTCTACGAAGGAGGTTAACATCTACGCCATGGGTAATTCCTTCAATAGCCATGTCAAATCAGCATCACTGAATACATCCAGATCACCCATGCGATGAGGATACGTACAACGCAATACTAGGCACTTCTCCGTTTACCGTTGTCGAGAATGTTTGCCCGTCTTTCGATGACATGATCAACTGGGACGTGGGCTCAATCTCCTCGGAGTTTGTGCTCTGGATGTCCGACGACCATGCTCAACCAGGATCGACAAGTCTTGTTAATATCTTGTCTTCCTCTGCTTTTGAGAGCATGATATCGAAGTTTGTGGGTAGGTGCTTAAGCAAACATCTGAGGCTGCTGATCGAACTGACCTCGTTTCGTTATTCTCATGGAAGTAAAGCGTCATACGCCGACTACGACTCGACTAGCTTGTGGAGCCTCCGCTCGTTCGCGGGGACTCGAGTGTTGCAGGAGCTAGAGCCAGCTCTCGGCAACGCATCTCTAAATGCTGCTTCGCTTGAAAAGCTGACAACTTTATTCTTGGTGCTATTCGCAACCATCATCGCGGCAGGGTATTCGAACCCACGTTGTCCATCAGGAGATATGGGTGCTTCCACATTCAGGCTGCCAGTCTATCAATCGCCGACATCAAGTGAGCCCTGCGCTTCCGGTCCATCGGCGCAAGTCTTTTCAGAAGCACGGAAACACCTTCTTCGCATCCTTGCACACCATATGGTCTACATCGCAGAACGCATCAATCTTCTGGAGACACAAGTTTCCAGAAAGCGTATCATTGAAGGCTCGGCCTGCCAATGGAACAGAAGAGCCACGTTCCAATGTCAAGAGATGCCAGCTCCGAAGAACGCAGATGTCCAAACTGTCTTGGTCTCACCCTGCGACACCCAAGACGACTCAAGGAGGGCAGATCGAACTTTACCAACAAGACATCCGGCACGCTCTTACCATCTCAGTCGCTCTCACCCTGCCAACTCAAGCTGCAGGCTAGCAGGACCTTTCGGTACGTGTGTGCATGAGCAAAGTCTGAACATTGAACCGTCGCCCATGGACCGTATTCTTGCTGGTTATCAGCAAATGACATTATCGCCACGGGATGTGCAAGCTCAAATTGAACGCGCCAGCACCCAGCGAGTTGACCCGGAGAGCATCCGGCATGCTCCACACTCAACCCGTAGATGCTCCCAAGATCACATGCCCTCCATAAGCACTAGAGACAGAAACTATGCCGCCTTTGAGTGCCTAGCCGAAACTGATGGCATGTGCGCGCCTTTCCTTTGCACAGATAGTAATGATAACGCACACGAAGCATCGAGCATGATCGGAACCCCCGCTCTCACAACCTCACCTTCTACACTGCAAAGTTCAGAACAATCTTTCTCCACCACGTCCGGCTCTCCGCCTAGCATCCGATCTCAAGCCTCAATGAGTACATGTGACACCAACTCCGACCAAGGATCCGTGTGTCGGTCTTGCATGTTCGCTACGCTGCCATTTGATGCATTGGACCAGGACAAACTCTGCCAGTTCTGCGCAGCTTTTCCCCAGCACAGCGCCGACATCGCGGCTTCTTCCTCTAATGACTTGCCTGATCAAAGGGTTCCCGCCCAAGGTCAGCTCATTTGGCTGGATGACGAGGATGGATCTGTCAATCTCCTGGTGTGACGTTATCATCTGGGGTCACATCATCATCATCATCGTCAACCCCCAAGCTGTCTTCGTCAGCCAACAAGGACATTTGCAGAGGAGAAGATTCGGTTATCCCATCCGTTAGCTTCGGGTAAGATTCACGGGGATTTCAGCCCTACCCCACGAAACATTTTTCGAACGTAGCCAGTGGATAGGATCGCTCTGGCATCATGTAGACTGTTTAGGCGTCGTGTGTTGTTGTTCTTATCGTACATTCGCTGATATGAACCTTTCGTTTGCCGTCTCTATTATTCAGCGTAGCTAGTGATTCCTCAAGATCAAAGTACATTGCCAATTCATACCAGAATCGTGATAGATCCATCACCGTCAATAAAGATCACATCAGAAAACCCCAGCGCTACCCTTGCCATCGAACCTGCTATCCACAAACATGCCCCCCATAAGTCACGAGAAACGCGTGCGCTGGAATCGCAATCGGTAGTCATGAAGCGGGGATCGTTGACATTCCGCGCCGCTCGAGTCGGTCGTAGAAGGCGTCGGGAGTAGCAGAGGGGCCCCAGCGGGAGCAGAATGTCGTTCACGCTGGGTACGTACCTTACCGACACGCTAGGTCCATAGACAGGCTCTTCCACGCCGCCCCCTTCGTATCCATGTCGTTTCCTCTACAAACCGGACCCGCGTCTTCAGGTCGCGCCACCCCTCATGATCCCCCCCCCTTCTTCGTCCCCCACCGCCCCGGCCCTGTTCCCCGCCATCGCCTGCAGCGTGGCGTGGCGTGGCGAGGGATGCTTTTTCGGGGGGTAGGCAAGCTGACGTCCGGAGTGGTGCTTGCGATGGCAGGACTTGGTTTTCTGGGGGGAAGTTTGAGCGATGGTTTGGTCCTTTTTTTGGGCTTCTCGCGCTATTTGTAGTTTTTGCAAAGGTTCGGGCTTTGAGGAGTCGGGTCCGGGATACGCTCGACGAGGGTCGCCGGCGCAGAAAGTAGCGGTTGCGGTAGCGCTTGACGGATTTTCGTCGACGATGTCGAGGTCCGCGCGCGGCGGCGAATTGGGGGAGGGCGCCACTGGGTCAATTCGGTAGCTTGTTGCTGTTGTGGGGGTGTTGTTGAAGACGTACCGTTGCCGCTTTGTTGTGACGGGTAACGCTAGGCCGGGATATTGACGGCGGAGAGCGGCCTGGGAGCGACGGATCGGGATTTTGGAAGCCATTGATTGGCTTCCCGATCGTCGGCCGACTTTGTGATGGCTCGAGGAAGTGACGGGGGTGAAGGCTTCGGGGTCGGACATGTTGGGCTAGGGGTAGTGTGTTGGTGGTTGGTGCCTGTAGGAGCTGTGGTGTGGTGTGGTTTTTTTGAATGTTTCGCGGGCACGGTTTCCAACGCGATTGCAGTCCTTGCAAAGCTTCGGGATTGAACGTCAGAGGCGTAGGGATTCATCCATCGGGGGGTTACGAGTATGTGGTAGGGACAGGATGGAGGCGACAGCGTGTCTGGGGGTGTTGGCCCGCGCCCCCTTCTGCCGCTGGCGCACGCAGGCCGCTCGTGCGATTCCCTCATGTTTGTTTGAGCGCCTTGTATGAGCATGGTGTTATGTCGCAAGCCAGGATGAGGTTGTTCAGACTCCCAGCTTCTAAGATTGGAACGTTTGAGGCGTTCTGCGTAAGGATACAGGCGCGGAAGAAGTCGGAGGTGAGGCTGGCCACGGCCCACGGCAGAGGACAGACGCCCTGCTTGAAGCATGAATCACAGGAGCTTCCAAGGACCTCCAAAGCGGTCTGCTAAGGAAGGAGTGGTTGGTAGTTGCACGAGAATAGATGGCACGTTTCGACTGTTCAAATGTCTCATTATGTTCATATAAATCTATGTGGGCTTTTCAACAACCGGCTGTGCAGACGCTACGTACGGAGCACACAGTTCATTCCTATTCCTTTTCGCCAGACTCGAGCTCTTCCGGCCTAGCTGCGTGTCTATGACCAACAGACTTGTCCTTTTCCTTCTCATTCTCCATTGCTATCTGCTCCTTTCTCTTCTTCAACTCCTGACAAAACTTGCTATTTTCTCGTATTCGATCGCCGTACTTGATAAAGGCAAAAGGTATGATAGACATAGCCAGACTGAGGAAGCCAAGCAAAGTGCTTGCCCATGAAACTCCCAGTGATTTGTACATGGGTGCCGCGGCCAATGGCAGTACCGCTCCAAATATCGAACGGCAGCAACTCGTTGCAGCCATGCCACTCGCAGCGTACACCTCGTAAGCATCAGTGATGTAGTTGAGTAGTGCCATGAAGATGAGCATGAAGCCCATGCCGAATGGCACGCCTGCGAGCATGGGTACGATCCAATGGACGTGAGGAGAAGCGCTCCATCCCAACCAGAAAAGCGATATGACATAGAGCGGGCCACCCAAGCAGGCAAGCGGTAGTCGACGATACTCCTCGATAGAAGCCCAGTTCGCATTGGCTTTCTTAGCTCGTTGGAGAATTGTATCGTACCATAAGAAGATGCCGAGGGCGATGACAGCCCCAACCATGATGGGTAGAAAAGCCAGACCAGCTACCCCAGTATTCATGTGGTAAAGACCCTCGAAAATAATCGGGTACGCCTCGAAGAAGAGGTAGAATATAGCGTATGCGATGGAAAGGTAGAGGCAGGTGAACAGGACGATGGCTTCATAAACGATCATATGGACTGGTCGCATGAGAGTAACAGTCATCATTTGTCGAGCGCCCTTCTTCTCGAGCTCGATAGCTGCGAATATATTAGGGTTTGCAGACTCCTTCCGCATGCGATTTGCTCTCTTCTTCAGGATGATTGGACCGTAGGTCTCTGGGAGGAGACTGAGGAAGGCGAGCGAGGCTCCAGCGACTATCAAGCCGACCCAGAACGTCCACCGCCACGAGACGACGGAGACAAAGCCTGATATTAGAGGAGCCAACATAGGACCGCACGTCGTGGCCTGAAGTTCTTGTCAATTTCGCGGACTATCAGTTCGTGTTTGCCAACTTACAGCCATGAAAATTGCCATTGCTCGCCCTCTGATGACTGGATTGCCAAAAACATCTGCGTATAGACCTCCCACCACAGCTATAGCACTCGAAGCATTGATGCCACATATGAGACGGAATACCAGGAATGCAGGCCAGTTTGGTGCCAAGGCACAGGCCATCGTGAAGAGTGTGAAAACCACGAAGCTGGACAGCATGATGATTCTTCTTCCATATGTCTCACTGAGAGGTCCGAAGATCAATGGTCCAAGTACATATCCAACCAAGAATAGGGATATCGGAAGAACGAGTTGCTGTTCGTCGGTGACGTGGAAATACGGGGCAATGTAGTTGATGGCGTTGCTGGGCAGAGAGGATCCCAGCGTGCTGTTGATGACTGCTACGATTCCCGCGAGTAGGATGTATATTTTCTTCCTCTGAAAGGTCGGATCAATATAGATGCACCATGGTGGGTGGCAAAGGTCCATACCATAGGCCAATTGTACGGATTCTCAGGGTCTCCATCAGGGAAGGACACAATGATCCTCTCTTCGTGATCTGGCTTGCCATGTATGTCCTCCTCCTCGATCTTGATGCGGTCATCAACTTTCCTGGTGTCTTCCGCGGAAGACGCGGACGATTCATGTGTGCAATTACCATCTGTGGGCGGTCAGTCTCAAATGTGTTCCTAGATTTGGGTGTCTTTCGTACCTGGACCTATGCTGTCCGATTGATCCAGAGCGCTCTCCCAGCTCTTGTCCTCCACATGTATGTCCGAGGAGACTGCAATGTCATGATTAAGGCATTGGAGCCCTTGACCGTATTTAGAACGGCTCATGTTCCCCCAGTGACGCACATTGAAGTTCTTGCCCAGGGATCTCGAAATATATAACGGCGATTCAAAGCCAGAGAATTTGTGGAGAAGCAGATGCTTGAAGCCATGGAAGAGGGAGTCATGGTTACTTTGTTAGTGAGCAACTTTCAGCGTGAGCCGGTCTTGTTGATCGGTTGTTCGGCAGAAGATGGCTTATAATGGGGAAACTTCGGACGAAACGGGAATAAGAAAAAAAAGAGAGGGAACGCGAAGTGCCGAGTTGCCGATCTCCCTTGCCAAGCGAACAATTGAAACAATTGCTTATTTGCGTGAGAATCTGATGCCTACACCAATTGTTTAGAACGGAAGGCTCAGGTCTCTAGATTGATGCTCTTCCCAAATCTAGCATACAGTTGAACCTTCAATTGCTCCATCTCTTCTCGGACAGTGCTCAATTTCCCCTCGACTGCTGACACAGACTCCTCAATCTGTTCCGTGGACGAGGCGAGCATCTCCTGCACCTCTGGAAGCGGCAATGACACAAAGGTATCGCCAATCTTGTACCTGTAAATCATTTCAGTCTGGCGAATCCTTCAGCAATTCGGCGCACAACTCACGGGATTTTGTCGTCTTCATCCGCTAGCTCCAACTCGTTTGACAATTCCTCAAGATCCTCCTTGTCCTTCTACAGCTTTCATCAGTAATGCCGACGCCGATGAAAAGCAATGATGTATTCCTTACAGCTTTGACCTTGAGCTCATCCTCCAAAGCCGTTTCACGTTGGTGTAATCTGCTGAATTTGTTGATCTTGTCTTGGTCTTCTCGCCTAACCTCAAGCTCGTCCTTTCCCACTGCCGCCTCGTCCTCTTTTGAAAGCTCATAACCTATCAGCATTGCCGCCCCCCTGATCCGGAAAGCTTTATTCGTACCATTCGTCGCTGCATGGCTTCCCCGACTTAATCTCCCGACTGTCACTAGGCACACTCAGGAGTCCAGCGATCTTCTGATTGCGTTCTGTCCTAAGTGTCTACGGCATTCGGAAATTGAGCGGTAAAGACCAAAGAATGAATATTCTGACCTTTGCTGATATGGTGATATGTTATTTTCGTGTCGGCTTGCCGCAAAAAGAGATCGGAAGCTGAAATTCCCCGGAAAGGAAGGTGAAGCGAGACTGCCAAGCTATCTGGGAGGCGGGTACACTGTACACTATGTGTAGTCTCAGTAATTCAGACTCACGACTAGCCGGGATACCTATAGCCAGCCCTACACTTATACCTCGCTTCGGGGGCCAATTATATTGTAGGCTTATTACGATATACCCCTCCCTTAGAGTTTAAGTAGAAAACCCTTAAATCGCTATATTAATTATTAATTTATATAAGCCTATTGTAATAATTACCTCGTTAATAGAAAGTCGCGATTTTCTTTAATTTTTTAACTATTATTATATAGTCTTTTAATATTAATTAAGAAGACAATAAATCTTTCGAGATCGCTAAATAAGTATATAAATTTTTTATTATAATCGAATATCTTATTATTATTATATAAGCTTATTTAAATATATATTCTTCGCTAACGATTATAGTATTTATCTTTAATCGATTATTCTTTAATAATTAAATTCTAGATAATAGCGTATTATATTTAATATTATTAAAAGATTATATAACGAGTTAAGTGTAATAATTAGATTATAAATTTAATTATATTACTATTTAATAAAAATCGAGTATTAAAGCTATCTCCTTTATATATATATCTATTAACTCGAAAATATATTATTTAGAAGTTAAAGAAAGTATAAAATATATATTTTAAATAATTTTAACGCGTTTAATGCGTTTAAAATAAATTAAAGCGAATAAAAAGATTATAAAAAATATTTAAATATACGATTTTCTCTTTAATAACGATAACGAGATATTTTTTAAACTATATATATTAATCTCTTTATAGTTTATAGAAATATTTTTTCTTCTAATAAATACGAAGTTTTAAAATATTTAGCGAATTAGTTTTAAAGTAAAGAGAAAAAGTTATATATTTAATTCTTAAATATAAAAGTAGAGAGAAGAATATTTTAACGTTTAAAGTGAAGAGGAATATTACTTAACTTTTAATTTTCTTTAATAAGAAATATACTAATTACTAATAGATCTAGAGCTTAATATTTCTTAATATTTTTTTAAAATTATAGCGTTAAGATAATTAAGCGATATTTAATTAGATTATTTATAATAATAATATAAATCTTTCTATATTTAAAGACGTCTTTTTTTATATTTTATATATTTATAAGAGACTTTAACGTTATATAAGATATTCTTATTTATTAATATCGCCGCTATTAATATCTAACTTTATATTAAAAGAATAAATTATCTCCGCTTCGCTCTCCGCTCTACTCTTCGCTACGTATACTTACTTACTTATTTATTTATTTACTTATTTATTTACTTACTTATTTATTTATTTATATTTATTATTATAACGACTTTTATAAGTTTAGCTATTTAAAAAATAAAGAAAGATTATAATATTTAATTAAAGTAATAAATTAATTAGTAAAATTATAAATTTTTTTTTAATATATTATATTATTAATCTAGCGAGTATTATAGTAATTATCTCGAGAATTATATACTATAAGAGAATTTCTATATAGTACTACGCGTTTATTAAGATATATAGTATTTTTAAATACTAGTATTACTACTATAATTAAATTAACTAAGTTTTTTAATAGAATAAAATTAGAAGTCTACTTTTTAATTATTACACTATAGCTTCTAATTTAATAAGAGCCTATTTTACTATTTATTTAACTTTTATTAAGAGTTTTAAAAAAGACTATATTACGTAGTTATATACTTTTATTAAAAATTATATATACGTAGAATTAAATATTATATATCGAGTAATATACCAAGAAAATAAGTCTTGATAGGGTTTTTTACTCAGACCTACCTCAAGGCCGGTAGGGCTAAGCTGAGACTACACTATGTGTGCGAGTGCGGCCGGTGACGGAGCGGAAGTCTTCCGCCCATCAATTAAATCACCCTGAGACTCTTGTGGTAAACAATCGCTTCGATCACATCCGGGCTTGCTCTCATGACAGGGAGATTCGAAATAATATCTCCATAAACGTTGCTGTATTGCACAGTCTAGATGTCTCGCAGGAGCGACGCTGACATTGCATTAGCGTTGCATGCTTATCAAAACCGTTATCTTTCCCTCGCTCGCCTCTTCGGCTATGGGGCGAGGTTGGTCTCCAATGGAAGGCCACTGTCGTTGCAACGGCGTTGCGTTAAGGTAAGTAACCGCCACGAGGGATGACGGAGGATTTTAGACCCATTGGAGGTGGGGGTAGTACACTCCTCGTTACATCTTTCCCTGATCTTGTGTTTTCCTTTCTGCTTGCATCCCTTGCATTTTGTTGTACGTCTACACTATGGCGACTCAAGACGAAGAGCGCAAGGCTTCTACAGCCTCAGCACCGAATTACGGTCTAACAAGCGAGGATGATGCCGCAGTTTTGGGTAGGTCAAGATATCAGGGATTACGAGAACATGTGTCTGACACGGGACCCAGCAAAACTTGGGTACAAGCAAGAGTTGCGGCGGAACTTCACTATGATCGAAGTCTTCGGCATTGCCTTCAGTATAATGGGACTCTTACCATCCATTGCTTCGACACTGTCATACTCTATTCCCGCTGGTCCTGTGGGAATGGTTTGGGTTAGTGGAATGATAGTAAATTTATGACGCGAACTTCGAATTGACACCTGTAAGGGATGGTTCCTGTCGTCAGGCTTCATCTTCATTGTTGGACTCGCTATGGTAGGCTTTCCGCCTTCAACGGATGCCGCTTTTCTAAATGAACATCTCTAGGCTGATCTTGGCTCTGCCATGCCTACATCCGGAGGCTTATACTGGTGGACGCATTTCTTTTCTTCAGCCAAGACACGTAATCCACTCTGCTTCTTAGTCGGCTACAGCAACACGTTGGGTCTCGTAGGTGGCTTATGCTCGATTGACTGTGAGAAAAATGAACTCGCATCTGACTCGAAACCCTTTGCTAATTATCAACAGATGCATTTGCCCTCATGTTCCTCTCGGTCATCGTAGTCGCCCGCGACGGCAATTGGACCCCATCCAATGGAGTCATCTACGCCACGTTCCTGGCTTGTGTTTGCTGCCACGGAATCCTTGCTTCAACAATGTCTAGGATCATGGGCAAGCTGCAGACAGTCTTCGTGTTCGCGAATTTCATCTTGATCTTCGCAACCATAATAGCCCTGCCCATAGGAGCACGGCACAACCGTAATGATGGTCATTATATATTCGCACAGACAGAAAACTCAACGACATGGCCGACCGGATGGGCCTTCATGCTAGCTTGGCTTAGTCCTATATGGACTATAGGAGGCTTCGACTCCTGTGTACACATGTCAGAGGAGGCAGCTAACGCGACCAAGGCTGTTGTATGTTCAACAATGTGTCTCAAATCTAAATCAATGGACACTGACATCATCTTTGACAGCCATTTGGCATACTCATGTCCATTGCGTCGTGCTGGTTCTTTGGCTTCATCATCGTTATCGTGCTTGCTGCATGCATCAACCCCGATCTGAGCTCAGTCACTGGATCGAAGTTTGGCCAGCCAATGGCGCAGGCAAGCCAACCTCTCGCTCTCCCTTCTCGGCTTGTACATTGACCAAAGAGATCAGATTTACTTTGACGCCATAGGCAAACACGGCACTCTAGGCCTGATGTCGCTCCTCTTCATTGTCCAATTCCTTATGGGCCTCTCCATCCTCGTAGCGGCCTCCCGTCAAGCCTGGGCCTTTTCCCGCGATGGTGCTCTCCCATTCTCCCGCTTCTTTCGTCCCATCTCGCAAAAGTTCGGTTACATCCCTCTTCGCACGATCTGGGGATCGGTCTTCTTAGCAGCCATCTTAGGTCTGTTATCACTCATCGCGCCAGCGGCTGCCCAGGCGCTGTTCTCGCTGGCGGTGGCGGGAAACAATTTGGCTTGGGGGATACCTATTTTTGCCAGGGTGGTTTGGGGCCAGAAGAAATTCAAGCCGGGACCTTTCTACACAGGGGACAGGTTCTCAGTTCCGATTGCTTGGGTGGCTATTACGTTCTTGGTCTTCGGGACGCTGTTGTCCATGTTTCCAGTTGAAGGCCCGGATCCTACTCGTAAGTCTTCCCCTCCGCTCTGAGATCATCTGTACCAGTACCTGCGGGGCATCCTCTCTCTCCCGCTAATCCCAAATCCTCCGAGTTCCGCATACTAACACCCGCTCCCAGCCCAAAACATGAATTACACTGTCGTCATCAACTCCGCCGTTTGGTTCGGCGCCTTGGCCTACTACTACATCGACGCTCGGAAATGGTTCACGGGACCGAAGATCACCATTGATACAGACGACTTGACAGAGGCGCAGCAGCAGGCCATCGCAGAAGACGGGCTCGAGATCAAGGGGCTTGACGATGCGGTCCACGCGAAGGTGAGTGTGGACGGCAGCGGCAGCGGCAGCGGGAGTGGGAGTGGGAGCGATGTCAAAGCGGTGTGAGGACATGTCACACACTGGTAGGGAAGGCTTGACAATGATTTTGTGGTTGGTGACCGTGACGGCTGCGATGACTTTTTACCTAAATCTTTTCGTTGAGTGGCCGAGTCTGCCTCTGGGATATCTGTCAGTTGAACTTCAAGCATCGGCTCGTTCTGAAGTAATGAGGGACTCGAGTCAGGTCTGAACGGTACTTTGTCATTATTACTATCAAAACTTGGTTGTTAGAACAGGGACCTCTTTTTCTATATCCAAAAAACCGTCAACTCCATTTTGTAAGCTAATGCTACATGCTACATATCCCTCCCATACTGTATATCCATCCCATACTCAAATTTTTTCCCCAGCTTTTTTTTCTGTTTCTTTTCTCGTTTGTGTGTTTTCTCTCTCTCTCTCTCTCTCTCTTTCTCTGTTCATTTCGTTTTTTTGGAATCTTTTCCTTTTTCCTGGATCTTTCCATCCGGCATGATACGCACAAAACCAGTCCCCGTGAGCAGCTGCAGAGCGGAGATTGTAAAAAAAAGGAAAGAAAGAAAAAGACCGCCCCTACGCCACGCGCGATTCTCTACATATTCCGTCGAGTCTCAAATAGCAACACACTTATGACAGCCCTCCTCTTCCCCACCCTTCTCTTCTCCATGGGCCTGCTACTTGGCCAGCGGTTCCTCGTACGACTTCGGTCGGATGCCGGGATTCAATCCCGTCGTCCGTGCAGAAGAGATCGCCTCTGTGATAGGATTGTGTTTTGCGTCCTCGAGTGCTGGTGGATCGCACCTCGCATGTCAAGTTTTGTCTCCGGCGGCTGCGGTTCGCACACCGGTTCGCAATGTCTCCGGCTCCATGGGCGGATCCTGAATGCTATCTTCCTCCGGGGAGCTCCTTCTTTCTTCGGCGCTTTGCTCCTGACGGATCGGGTCCTGTGTGCGACGGTCTCGGGTCGGAGACGCTGATCTCGTTGGTTGTGATGGATGGATCGGTGGTTGTGGCCATGACGTCTCGCGCGTGGGTATAAGGGTCGTGGGCCAAGTATGCGCGACCGTCTGCTCGGTAAGGGTTCGATGTCTCGCTCGAGGAGGAATCCTGAATCGGGTCCGGGTCGTGCGGATGTTGATCGGTGTGATGATTCCGGGGGTAGGTCGTCCGGTGACTTCTGTCGTTACCGGTGTGATCTTTGCCGAGCATAGCGGAGTCTACGGTCTCGACCCTGGCCAATCCCTGGTTCACATGGTATCTCCTCGGTCCGTCCGTGATTTGTACCAGCGGTGCGTGTTTGGCGATCTTCTTCCTTTTCTGAAACTCAGGTGGTGCATGCGTCTCCACGGTTGCACTTGCTGCTTCGCGCACGCATCCGGTATTCGTTGCGCCAAGAAACAGAGGAGCTTCCACACCTATGGTGTTCGGGCGATGGGTCCACTCTCTGCCGTCTTGATTGTCATCGTCATCGTCATTGACGATATCGCGGTTCCAAACCCAACGTGTGGCTTTTGTAGTTGCTGGAAGATAAACCGCTTGAGGTCGATCGTTGGGGTCTGTGGCGAATGAGGATGGTAAGGGTACAACGGGTATGTGTCTCTCCATAGAATGGCTAAACAAGCAGGGTGGAGCATCGTCTTTGGGCCAGTTAAATTGCAGTTCTCGCGGGAGTCCGTCAAGCAGTTGTGTGAGTTTGGTCTGCAGGGCCACTAATTCAGGATCAGACATCCAGTCGTTGGTGGCGCTAGTTTCTTTGATGCCGTGCATACGCCGTACAAAATCGATTCCCATCTTTTGCAGCATCGGAAGTACGGTCCGCAGTAGCTGCGCTCCTGATTGCTCGCCATGGTTTGTTGAGGGATGATCTTCATGCTTTGATATGATGTTGAGTTGCAATTTTGGGCTGACAAGGAATTCCACGGATGACCTGCCTGGTCGCGTGACGCTAGTATTCGTCCCGACCTGGCCTATTGATTGCTGCGCGAGACCCAACAAGGAGCGAAGTAGCATGCGAGACTCCTTGTTCCTCACGGGAGCGTCCGCCTTCCCCTGCAGGTTCTTGATATTTAGAAACCAGGCATTCATAGTGGAGTTGATGCGTTGACTATCAGTCCAGCTTGGTAAACTTGGACAAGCGGCGCTTTGTCGAAGCGTCAGCACATATGCATTGACCTGTGGGACGATACGATCGCTGGATTGGTCTTTGATCGTCATGGGGCAGCCACTCAAACTTGAAGTAAGCTTTGATGTGAGTTGGCATTTCGCTGCTTTGGAGTCGATATGGCTTGAGGAAGACGGTTTTTCTGGGTTCATTCCTCGCAGCCCCTGCGGGGCCGTGTAAGACTCGAGTGTACCATGTCTCCTGGAACAATCTTGAAGTTGATGTGTCCCTCCTTGCTCATGCTCGCGTAGATCTTCGGTCAAATATCTGTGAAGATCTATCTGAGTGTCTGTTGTCGAGGGGGATGGTCGGTCTTGGTTCAGCGGCTGTTGAATTGCGCGCGTAGAAAGCTCGTGGATCGTACTCATTCGTCCTAATCCAGAGTTGTCCGAGTGTGAGATTAGCTTGCGAACTTGAGCATAACGCTTTTTCTCAAGGATATTCACAGGAGCTTGAGAATCGATGACACATTCTGTGGATCTGGCACCAAACTGATCGTCTTTGTCGACGCTGAAGCACGATGTCGCTGTTGGTAGCCCTTGAGAGGTTGCTGTGGATGGCCTCCGTAAACATGCTTTGCTTTCCTTTGGAGACCCTGCTGCCGATGGTTTTCGATGGCTTGCTGTGCGCGGTTTCCGAAATCTTAATGTGTATGTTCCATGGGAGCCAGCTGTTGGTAGTCCTTCAGTGCTTTGCTTGTGGTGTTGCTGGCTGACGTCCCTCCAATCGTGATGATTTGGTACAGGTCTTGTTCCACTCTCATCAGGCGTTGCGCGTCGTAGTAGTGGATAAGGGAGATGGGTTTCATTGTCGGTATGTTGGTTATCGTCATGCTGCTCTCCTTCTTCAAAAGATAGATTAGGAACATATGACGGGTTAAAATCATCAGACACATCGTCCACCCGTGGGTCTCAACTTTTTTCCTGTCTGTTAAGTCTCTGATCAATGCTCCCAGTCTTGTAATCCTCGACATCTCCTTGAAAAGAAACGACTTGACTATTATTTGCCGATCGACCACTCTCTTTCCAACGATTAAATGCCGCGATAAGCTTTCCATGTCCGCGAATTTCCATAGCATGTCTCATTCTGTCTTTCTTTAATGTCTTCGTGCTCGTTTCGTCACAGTCCTCGGCTGCTAATGTGTGAAGAAGAAGTCAGAGACAAGCTCAAGGGGACATTGAAGTGTGGTATGGGGTATTGGGTAAGGATAACTGAATGGAAACGACACACCAGCGGTTGAGATGAATGATTTCTGTTCCGTCACACACACAGGCATGCTTCTTTCAGCCTCTTTTCTGATCTTGGCTTCTGCGTGGAGGCTGAGTACCATCACAGGGACAACTGATTAGTATTAGCAGTGCCTCAGCTAGGGAAATGTATAAGAGACACAGACTGGTTTCAGGTGGGATTTGCTGTGACAGGCTGGCATCCGTGTAAGAGGTATTACCAGGAGTGTAGAGGGGCTCTTCTGTCCTACTTGACGCTACGGATCTAGGACTGAACGCGGTCCTACCAGCGACGCTGAATAACGATTTCTCGGCTATTGGCGAGTAATCTAGATGCTGCTTCTGTCGAATGGCTTGCTGTCGTTATATAATTGGCATTGGCTCAAGCGCTGGCTGAAGCGGTAAGGCAGTCAATCCACCACCAGCGTGCGATGGAATTACTTGGTCAGTGGGCGAAGTAGACGCCAGTGGGAGTGAAGCGAGAGGGAGTGAAAGCCAATAGTTATTCAATTGCGCCAAGTGGACACTGCAGCGCTTTTTGTTCTTGAGGCAGAAGTTGCAGCTCGAAATGGAGCCTTGATTGGAAGACCAACTTTTCTCACATTTCGTATGTTCTAAACGGCAGGTATCACAAGTCTGAAGCTCAGTTAGCTCCGCAGTAAGGATCGTATACTCGTGCGGACCCACTGGTCTGGCTCTCACCCATTCGTTGATTTTCTCCCTCATTCGTAGGGCTTCTTCATCAGCTATTGTATTGTCTACCTCGTCTTCATCGTCGAGATTGACTTCCCGATCGCAATTACGTTTGAGCCGAAGGCTTCCAGCAGACACCCTTTCACTTCCAACGAACCGGCCCATGTTTTTTCTCCATGTGCGGACAGGGTCCCGGAGTCGGTCAACCAGTTGAAATGACTTTTTGCTTTCGTGGGAGAGCTGGATTGCAAGATCAATAAGAGTGGAGTCCAATCCTGCTAGCACAGGGTCGGCACGAAGGGGTGAGCTCCCTTCATATTGAGGACACTGTTTTGCCGGTGGCCATGGATACACAAGTCCTCCGTCCTAGATCGTGTTGGCAGGCAATAGCCAAGAATTGGGATGTAAGCAAAGTTGATGACTTACAATACCTTTGTGCAGATTCACCGCTCTTCGCTCAGCGAAAAAGCGCGAGAACAGCCCAATCCAGTCAAGAGAGATCTCGCGTTGCTCTTGGTCGATTCTCAGGCCGGGTACCGCGCAGTCGTTGAGTCCCGCTCGCACTTGAATCACAAACATCCCTTCGGTCGTTTCAGGTTCGAAGATTTGGATAGGGTAACTCGGCGGGCCCCAACCCTCTGAGTGGCCGAAGAGTCGTCGCCTTTCGGAAGGCTTGTACTTGTCTGCCTCTCCCATTGGCCCAAGACCCCCCCTCTCTCTCATGTGTCTGAATATAACGCCCTCATACAAGTTCTTCGGGTCGTTCGGATCGTTCGGCCTATGTTGCATCTTGAATACAGCCCTTCCGGAGTCCAGCTCTAATAGCCCTGCGAAGCGAAGCTGAACTTTGAAAACATACTGTTCGACACGGTCGAGAGGAGCGCGATCCCAGGTGGCCCAGATACCAGCTCTAGAGTGAGAGAAGGTGTCGTATTCAGCATAGTACGTATCTACAATCGCGAGCTCGAGAGGTCAGCATCGTTCAGGATCAAGCTTTTGTCTCCGAGACCCAAGGCAGTTCGCTATGAGGGATGCTGGAAGGCATCGAATGACTTGAGAGACTGGCCAGCTACGCTCAAACTTTACATTGAGCGAGCGGCCTCGAAAAAACAAGACAACAGGCACTTGGCGTAGACAACTTCCCCGTGGTAGGGGTGACGAGGATATGCGCTAGACAAGAAATACTGACCGCTGATGAAATGTAACGTAGTGCTTGGTAGATGCTGTGATTTGAAGATGTCTTCGACCTCAGCCTTGAGTTGCTTGCAGACAGACCTCACGCATGTCCATAGATGGGTAAGGTCATCCTGACTTTTGCAGTTGCGGAAGTTGTCCCTGATCATTCGTAAGATTAGGTCCCATATTTCAAACGGAAGAAAGAGACGGGGAGGCAATCCTCCTATGTGTTCTGGCATGATGGAAAACGCAGGAGAGGCTTGTGTCGCGGAGACAGAAGTACCAGGAGAAGCCTAAGACATCGTAAGGGTCCACGAGGTAGCAAAGTGAAGAAAGTAAAGGGAAGGAACCGTGAGGTGAGAAGAATTGGAAGGGTGGTACAGGGCGAAAAGCGAGCAAACGGGGTGGTGGCGTGGGTGCTCCGTCAACCAGATATATCTTGACGCACTAGGTGACAGCAAATTCGCCCTCGAATCATTGGCAATCTCCTGGCGAAGGAGACATGATGAGGGCTGGCGGTGATGGTGATGATGATGATTCACGGAAGAGGACTGCGAAGGAAGATGAAAGCCGGAGGATATAGGCTAAGCGGAGAACCATTGATACGACCGACAGCAACTCCAATCAAAGCGCAAGTGTAGGCGTTGTCGTTTGGATCTGATGCCACGTCCCTACAGACTTCTCACAATTTGCTGTGCATGAGGTCGGAGATGTACGGGTTAACTACCGCATCTAGGGAGCGTGTCGAAACAAAAGAACATGCTTGGCCGGTGGTGTCAAACTGTCGACCAATTAGCTATTGTGTCTAGGTAATTGACCATGATCAAATGCAACATAAGTGGCGAGTAGGAAGTGAACGCTCAGGGCGATCCTAACTCGGTGGCACGCAATGGAGATGAAGAATTGAAGATTCTTGAGCATACAACATAGATTCGCATAGGGTCGGTTTGGAGTTCAAACATCTCCCAGATTGCCAAGATGCTGAGTGACTCACATGCTAATAAAGTAGCAAGTAATACTCCAAGGTACTAAAGACGGGTCTTCATACCCGGACAGCCGAAGATCTTCCAACACTCTGTGCTGCTATACGATCTCAACAATCAATTTTGCGAGAACATTTTATGTTTAAGACCTATAGCACTTCCAGTGTACTCCAACTTGGTCATAGCAGAGTTTTCCGTAGATTGTATCATCGTGGTCATGTCGTGAGTTGAACATTTTCCGTGGTCGCTTAGTGTCCAGATATTGGAAAAACCGCCAAGACCAAGTGGGTATAGTGTCCGAATTAGCACCCGCTGATCTCCGGCGTTGTTTCCAGTGTCCGTCCCTGCCCGAACGGTCTCAAAATCCTCTGGATTTGTCGCATCACACATCAATCCAGATTATAGTACCAACGAACCAAGCTTCCATCTTTCGTGATCCGTCAGCAATACAGCATAGGTTGGCCATAATTCGAGCCTGTTCCCGCTTGGCCTCTTGTATTCGCTCCGTATGCCAGCTACCATCTGGTATCATCTTCCAGAATTACCCCGTCTCGTCCATGTTGAAGATGTCCTCAGCATCGAAACTCTGACTAGCCTTACGGGTGTCTCCCATGATATCTCGTGTGCGGTCATTGATATCAGCAGAGCTAGCCTCGTTGTGTCGAGCCTGTAGCTTCAAGTTGTGCCGACTTTGGAAGCCTTGAAGCCATCCTTAGGTCCATTCAGGGCAGGGTTGGCCTTGATAGCAGGGTAGACGGCTCCAAAGATCCGTGGCTCGGCATCGAAGATTCTCGCCAGTGAGAGTGTGTCTGGCTGCCTTATACCGTTGCGCCCACTCAAAGAGAGCCTCTTCTAGGACCTCCCATTTGTCCGCACGTTGACGCTTTGCATCCTTCCAATCTGGCACAGGTCTCTCGTCCAGATATGTATATTTGACCCCAAGGATTTTGCTGCAGGTGGAGGTATTTAGTTTGTATTAATACTGCTCATTCCACCAACGGCCACAGTCCTCCAGAGTTTTCTTGCTGTTGAGGCCAGTACCAGGCGTCGAGTCGTCATTGTACCATGCTCGTAAGGCCTTGCTTTGACTGTCTTTGATGCTCCGACAAGGCATTTTTGTAGGAGGAAGAATATCAGACATCTTTGGATACAACAGACTCGGCAAAAGTTGGAAGAAGAGCTAACGGACTGGGTTGAAAGGAGAGACTCGGTTATTTGTATGAGGTTTGGTGGATTTCGCAGCTATAGCCAGGTGTCTGTTATGCGGTACCGCTAAAAGCAGGTACTACCGTAATTACCTTACCACTTTACCGCCACCCGCTGCGCCAATCGATGCGCACCGCAGTTTGGAGTACCACTGCCGGCCGAAAACAACCCACACAATAGCGTGTCCGAAGCCAACCCCTGCTCAGCACCAAGTCTATGCCTGCGTCCCTTGGTGACTACATATTCAGCCGGCGTGAGAGGGATCCGTACTTTCTGCGGGCCCATGCATCTGCGGAGGAGACGGGCTGGACTACCGTTGTAGGCAAGCTGAGTTGAGCGGCTGGATCCTCCGTTGAGGAGGCATTGACAAGGAAGGGCATCTCTACCCTCTCAAAGCTGGAGTGCTCGACAGAGATCGAGCATTAGCCAATCGACGCTAGCTTATTGAGTACACCAATCTCTGGAAGCATGGACGTGGATACCGGCGTTAGCGCTTCGTGCACAGCGGGAGAGGGGAGCAAGATCTTGGTGATCGGAGCAGGCTGCACTGGTCTTGCGCTTGCCCATGGTCTGAAAACGGTAGGCACCCAGATACTGCAAAAGCGCTTGTGATTTATATTCCTAATCTCGTTGCTAGGAATTGAAGTCTCTCGCTAACGGTGAACATAGGCTGGGATTCCTTATGCCGTGTACGAGAGTAGAAGCAACGTTGCCCCACTGAAAAGAGATTGGAGTTTTGGCTTGCATTGGTCTGCGCCCGCTCTTCAATCTCTCATCCCCACCGAACTTTGGGCAATGATACAAAGCACCCAGGTGGATCCCCACACACCTACCAAGGACGTTGAGACACTTCGTTTCCACAATGGGCGAACCGGTGAACTCATTCGCGGGGTTGAAGTCGAAAGATTCTATCGCCTACGCCGGAGTAAGCTCCAGGCCTTGTTATCGGAAGGTCTCGATATAGAGTGGGAGAAGGAGATGGTAGATATAATACATTTAGAGGACGAGAAAGGGGTGAAAGCTATATTCGAGGATGGTACTGAAGTCACTGGCTCCATGCTGGTCGGTGCAGATGGTACACGCTCATCTGTTCGATCCCTTCTCGTCGGATGCGATAGTGCAAAGCCAACCCCCATTGACTTTGCTACCACGATGTGCTTCAGCAAGTACTCGCGTGACAGGGCTCTCTTCTTGCGTTCGGCACCACATCAGCCGTTGTTTCAGACTGCTCCACACCCAGACGGCTATTTCAGCTGGCTAGGACTTCATGATGCTTCGGATACCGATCATCCGGAAAGCTGGGTTTTTCAACACTACATTTCGTTCCCTGAGCCTCGAGAGTTCGAGAACAAGAAGACGGTGGCCGAGCATGTCGCTCACCAAAAAGCAATGGCATCTCAATTCGCCGACCCTTGGAGGAGCTCATTTGAATGGATACCAGATGACACCACGACAGCGTGGTACGGCAAATTGAATCACTGGGATCCAGCGCTACCGGAGCACAAGTGGAATAATCAAGGAGGACTCATTACACTGGCAGGCGACGCTGCACATCCTATGACGTTCCAGCGTGGACAGGGTTTGAATCACGCACTCACTGATTCAGTGAAGCTATGCAAAGCGATTGTGGATTGTTGGCACAGCAGTGAAGGCTTTCAGTCTGGACGGGCGGCTGCGATTGAGGGCTATGAAAAAGAAATGATAGCAAGAGCGAGCGAAGAACTGCGGCTTGGGGAGCTGAACTCGAGAATGTTACACGATTGGGAGCAGGTTCAGCAGAGTCCAACTTTTGGAAAGGGTCTTAGCAGGTAAGGTAGTCACGCCAAGCTCGCCTCTAGTGTCCGTCGGTTGTTCCCTTCCTTATGGCCGGCTGGTTCACGCTAGCAAAAAGATCGACGCAGGGGGATAGCATGGTCACGTCGTTGCGGCTCAAGGCTATATTTTCTGATTTCCTGCTTTTCTTCTTACTCTGGTGCGCGCGTAGGCCGATGTGACTGACTCAGGGAGCCAACCTCCTGATACGAGGCCCCTGCTAGCGTGTATCAGCCGGCCACACGGGGTTAGAGTGGGAGCGGAAAACATCTCACGGTACTCCAAGGCTTGGCGGGCTCAGCTTCGAAATGCCTTCTTGGATCAATGCATTCGTTCAGCACCACAGACGCTCTTGCAACGATCTTGCTCAATCGTTGAGAGTCTGTATGGGACAGCTAACGTCTGCTTGTCTACGGCCAACCCCTCCAGAATCATCGTGGCTTCTGCTCACGATGTCGGCATGGAACCCATACTGAGGTAGCCCTTATAGGGCTAGTCATCTGATTTAGGAGAATCCACATAGCAAATAGCAACCTAATGGACGAGCGAGGAATGAGGCGAAATTACCTAGGGGAAGTGACAACATACGATAAATGGCTAGCATTCTAGGCTTAAAGATCTATCTACGTTTTGGTTTTCGTATATGTACTATTTAGCGACTTTTGCAAAATGAGACATGCAGATGCCATTGATATGCGTTTTGATCCCGCTCGCCAGATGAGGATCTTTCGAATTCGGAACGATGGGAGATTGGCCAGTACAGTCTACTTGCAGATCTGCGCTGCAAATGCATTGACCATATCCAGACCAGACCCACCCCCATCCATGGAGGGGGGAACGTTACTCCGTTTTAATGAATGCAACATGGAAAAATTTCTGGTGATATATTCCCTTTCATGCTTCCCACAACCCATGCCAGGTGAGCCAAATGGCACCACATTTGACCCCACAAGAAGCGGCCGATGACTACCAATCAAAGCAGTCTGCCATAGTCGCAACTTCTGTGGTCTTTCTCGTTGTTGTAACGTGTCGGTCTTCATCCGGATTTTGTCGCAATTCCAAGTATCGAAGCGTCTTTTCCTCGACGATTTCACCATCGTCTTTGCCGCGGTATGGTAATACTGAATGGGTGTCACGGTTCCAATGACCTTACGACCTTACTTGTGTTATGGCCCAATTGGGCTTAGCGTACCAAGGCCTTTCGGCCTTTCTATCTTACTATAAAGCCTACACACTTATAATAATCTTATATAGATAATATTCTCTTTATACTATAATATAGAGTTATTATATATATTATTAAGTTTCTAATATAATACTATCTATCTTTCTTCTAAAGCGATAGTAATTTATTTACTAGTTATACTAAACGTATAATTAAAAAGAAAGTATATTATTAAGAAGTTAATAGCTATAACTAAAGGAGCTTACTACTCGAAAGATCATTTAAAAGAAAGCCTTTTATTTATATAAAGACTAATCTAGCTAGATTAAATAAGAATCTAAAGAAAATAAATATCTTTAATATATTAAAAGAAATAGACTCTAGACTAAATCTTCTTTATACTTCTACTAACTTAATATCAACTATAAATCTATTAACTCTAAATTTAAATAATATTTAAAGTTAAATCGTTATAAGTAAATTATAAATATAATATTATTTAAAAGAATTTAAGAATTTTAATAAGAAGATCTTAAATATTAATAAAGCTAAATCGTTTATATAATATAAGAAAAAGCGTTCTATTATTAGAAGATATATTATTAAATTTAATTTAAGTTATATCGAAGTATAATTTATAAATATTATCGAAGAAGAGTTAATTATAATCTTTGCTTCTATTATTAACTCGCAGGATTTTATAAAAAGCGTTATTAAAACTTTTAATACTTAATATAATAGATTAAAGATATTAATAGAAAGCTTTTAAACTACTAGTTATAATATTAAAATACTTTAATAATAAAATAAAGAACTTAATTATAATATTATTTAAGCTAAGATAAAGATATTAATAATTATTACTTAGCTAATGTCATGAGATGCCTCAGGGATACTCATAGGGCCACTAGCGTAGGCTTGGCACCGCACATATCTGCCTGCAGACCACATAGATTAATCAACATCTTTACACCACACCACATATATGAGTCACACCATATTATTCCTTAACAAATGGTAGCAACACCTGGCCCTACTTCATAGGATATCCAGGCGTCATCAGACGTTTACGCAAAGCCTGCATCAACACCTAATAGTGCAACGCTCCAAGCCGGACCTCCAATACACTCGCGTCATCGAGTACCTTTTGACAAAACCCCGTCCAAATCGATCCTTTTGATAGGCCTATCGATCTCATCATGGCTTCCAATACGAGAGGTCAAGAGATAGAAGCAATGATACAGCGTATTATTCTCAGCATGACTACTACCATGACTACTACCATGGCTACTAATATGACTGCCATGGAAGAAAGAATGAACACCAGAATAGCTGAGTCAATACCTACCTCGCCAGCTCAGCAAACCACTCAGCTAGCCACTCAGCCAGTCACTCAGCCAATCACTCAGTCAGCTACTCAGTCAGTCACTCAGTCAGTCACTCAGTCAGCCACTCAGCCAGCCACTCAGCCAGCCACTCAGCCAGCCACTCAACCAGTCACTCAGTTAGCCACTCAGCCAGAGCACTCAGTTGAACAAGAGGAGGAACCACTACAACAGGCAAATGCGGAGAATACTGCGGAGAATACTGCGGAGAAAGCAAGCGACAACAAGGCCACCATTAGCAAGAACACGGCTCAGCTCTCCAAGATCCCACGTCATATGCTCTCCACGGTTCCACGTCAAATCACCACTCAGCAGGCGGAGAACGACACTACAATTTGGCCTGCTATCTCTGCATGCCTGGGCAATATCACATTGTGGTACATCACTGCAATGACGACGCAAGAGAAGGATCTACTACGACGGTCACAGCCAAATCACTATGGCTATGGCAATTGGACCTCTGCAGGCAAGGGTCACATCGGACGATGCATATTTGGACGAATTGAAACCGTCCGATGTCTTGTTTCAACATCCATTTCATTATTCAAAAGCTTTCACTGCGGCAGGAGATTTCGCGGGATGCACACCACTAATTAGCCTGGCATCTCCATTCATTTCCGGCATTCGAAGAATCATGCATGCATACTTCTTGCCATGAGGACATGGCATTTCTCTGTTTTTTTGTGGGCAATTGTCATGAGATGCCTCAGGGATACTCATAGGGCCACTAGCGTAGGCTTGGCACCGCACATATCTGCCTGCAGACCACATAGATTAATCAACATCTTTTACACCACACCACATATATGAGTCACACCATATTATTCCTTAACAGCTAAGTAATAATAATAATTAATTATTTCATAAGTAAGAAATTAATAATAAACTTCGAGGTTTGCGTAATAGATATTATATTAATACTATAAAACTTATTAAAGAAAATAAAAAATTTAAATAAGATTTAAGATATAAAGAGTAATAGTTAAAGAAGTAATAATCTCTTATATTAACTAATTTAAAAAACTTCGATAAAAAAGATATAGAGATTATATCTTATTAGTCGAGTATTCTTATTAATAATATTTATTAAAACTTACGCTATACTTCTATTACAAATCGCGTAGAGAATATAAGATTAAATAAATGATATCTCGATATTCTAGATTTTTATAATATTAATAATCGAGATAAGTAAAATAACTAGCGTTAATACCTTAAAGCGAAATTTAGATAAAATATTATAATCTTCTCTATTAAACTTAAGAAAATCGATTATATATAAGATTATTATAAGTTTATTATATACGACGTTATTAAAATAAAAGTAGATAAAGATATTTTAAATTTATATTAAATCGCTTAAGAAATAATTAATAAATTAGATAATATATTTAAAATATATAATAAGATTATTAAATTAAATACTAAGATATTTAATTCTAAATTTAATATAAGAGTAATAGATAAGAAGGAATTATTCGAGGATTTCTATATACGATTCTCTATAGCTATCGCTTTCTTAAAATTCACTAATATTTATAAGATATTTAATCTAAAATAATTAATCTTTATATATTTAAGATATCGAATTTTAGAATAATCTTTTAGTACTTTTTAAAAGTTAATTATTTTCCTATAAGCATTAAATATAAATTTTTAAATTATTAATAATATATTAAATTTAAAGAGTAAGAAAGAGATTAATAAAACTAATAATAATTATAAAAACTTTACCCTCTCGAATAATTAGCGTAATTTTTTCTTTATTAAAAGAAATAATAATATTATTATTAAAAATTTCTATATATAAGAATATAAGTATTCTAAGCTATTAATAAATAAAATTTAAAAAGAAGATAGATATTTTAAATATTTAAAAATTAGATATCGTTCTAGCGACGATAATACTCTATATAAAAATATAGATCTATTAATAAAAGAATAAGTCGATATAGTTTTAAAAGCCGTCGGCGTAGAGGAGAACGTTTCTATCGAATTACTATAAGAATTAAAAAACTAAACATCTTTAGCTAAGTCGTTATTAGAGATCTAGAAATTTTATATATAAGAATTAAAGAGTTAGAAATAGGAAGGATACTCGCTTTTATCTCTCTATCCGCGTATATTATTATTATCGAAGCCTCTTTATAAAATAAATATTAATTAAACTTTTATAAGAAAATTATTATATTAATAAAATACATTAAGATTAATTATCTCTCGAATATTAAAGCTTTAATATTAAGTTTTATAGATATATCTTTTATTAAAGTAAATAAGCTATTTAAAATAATATTAATATAATTCTATAAATTATAACTAGTCGATAATAAATTTATTTTTATTTCTAATATTATATATATAGTCTTAATAAAACTTATCTTAGAAGATTATATAGAAGAACTTTAATACTTAATTATCTTATTAAGATAATTTAATATTATTCTAAAAATATTATAGCTAAAATAGTATAACTCTTATATATTCTTTAAATTTAGAATTATTATACTTAATTTAGATTATTATATATTTAACTATTTATTATATAATAAATCTATTACTATTTAAAATAATAATAAATTTTTAAAAAAGAATTTAAATTATATAGTAAAGATTATATTTAAAAAAAAGAATATAATAAAGATCTTCGCTTATATCTTTATTAAGATAATTAAGAAATTAGAGAATTAAATTATTATTATATAACTTTAAGACTTTAAATAATTTTCTAACTTTATTAATAAGAAAGCGAAGTTTATTATTAATATCGTTATTATTACGATAGAAGATTATAAGAAATTCTTTTATAAGCTAAAAAAGAAATCTTTAACTATAGAATAGCTATAAAAATAAGTTTTTATAGTATATTATAAATAATTAGATATTTAAAATCTAATTAAAATTAATAAACTTCTCTTTTATCGCTTTATTAACTATAAAATATATCTTAAAAAAGAAATTATTTTACTATCGAAAAGGGCTTATAGACTCTTTAGAGACTAGATATTAATTATAAAGAAATATATCGATAAGATACTAGAAAAAGACTATATTAGATTAAGTACTTCTCTCTATATAATATCTATTCTAATTATAAAGAAATTTAATAGAGAACTTAAACTATATATAGATTATAGAGCTCTTAATATACTTATTATTTCTAATTAAAATATTCTCTTATTAATTAAAGAGACTCTCGCTAAATTATACGCGATAAGAATATATAATAAATTCGATATTATAGCCACTTTTAACGAAATTAGAGTAAAAAAAGATTACGAAGAAAAAATCGCATTTTTTACTTAATATAGTCTATTCGAATATATAATAATATCTTTCAAATTATATAATATCTCTATCACTTTTTAGATATTTATTAATAATACCTTATATAAATATCTAGATATATTCTATATTATCTATCTAGATAATATTCTTATCTATAATAATATTAAAGATAAATATATTTAATATATAGAAAAGATATTAAAGAAACTTCGATAAGCTAGCCTCTATCTTAATATTAATAAATACGATTTTTATATTATTAGAGTTAAATATCTAAAACTAATTATTATAATAAAAGAAATAGAAATAGATATAAAGAAAATTAAAATTATTACTTAATAAAAGAAACTCAGATATATTAAAGATATATAAGTATTTCTAAAATTCGCTAATTTCTACTAAAAGTTTATTACAAGATACTCTAAAATTATCGCACTTCTAATAAATCTTATTTATACTTAATAGAAGAAAGACTTTATCTATTTATAGACTTAAGAATATTCTAAATAACTCGCTTTTAAAACGCTTAAGAAAGCTTTTACTACTATTTTTATATTTACTTATTTTAATTTAAATAAAAAGACTTAACTAGAAACGAATACGTTTAATTTTATAATTACTATTATTCTATTATAAGAAAATAAAGACGAAGTATTTAAATCTATAATATTTCTCTTTAAAAAGATATCTTTTATAGAGTATAACTATAATATCTATAATAAAAAACTTATAATTATAATATAAGCCTTCGAGAAATAATATTCTAAGCTAGCTAATACCTCTATTAAAAACTCTATTAAAGTTATTTTAGATTATAAAAACTTATAATACTTTATATTCTCTATATAACTTAATTCCCATTAAATAAAATAAGCGAAGTTTCTTTTTAAATTCAACTTTTATATTATCTATTACTCGAGAAAATAAAGTATTAAATTTAATAGTCTTACTCGACGAGTAAGAGACTTATCTAAAAATGAGAATAATAATTATACTTATTATTAATATTATATAATTCTTAAAAATAATAATCTTAACGAAGATATTAAGAATATTATATATCTTACTATTATACTTCTAAATAATATAAAAAAAAATATTATCTCTCTAATTATAATATTATATAAATTTAATAAATAAGATAATATTAATAGTGAGAAGTCTAATAAAGAATTATTATTAAAAACTCTAATAGAGACTTCTTAAGAGAAGTCTATAGAAGAATCAAGAGAAGTCTCTACTATTAATATTTCTAAATTATTATATTAGATAAAAAACGCTTATAATTATAATAATATTATTTAAAAAATTATATAATTAAAGATATCTAGATAGAGAAAGTTATTATTTAAAATAATTAAAAATAATCTTAAATTAAAATTAGATAATTATTATCTTTATAACGATTTATTATATATTAATAATAAATTATATATATTAAATATTCTCAAATTATAAACTAAGATTATTAGAGATATTTATAACTCTTTATTTAAAGACTACGCTAATAAATTATTAATTTATAATAGATTAAGTAGATACTACTATTAGCTAAGAATAATAGATTTTATTACCCGCTATATTAAGAGCTACTATATTTATAAAAGATTTAAAACTTATAAAAAGAGTAAATAAAATTTTTTTAAATTTCTTTTTATTTTCGAATAATACTAATAAAATATTTTTATTAACTTTATTATATTATTATCTATCTATCTTAGATATAAACGCTTCTATTAATATATTATAATAATTATAAATAAACTTAATAAAAAAAAGAAATTCGTTTTTTTAAACTTCTTAAAAGTAAAGATAATAGTTTAAATCTTTATCGAATTCATATAGCGAGAGAAAGAATATCTATTTACTATTATCTCCGATTAAGATATTTAATTTATAGTATATTTCTAAAGAAGACTATACGAAAGAATTAAGATTAAATTTAAACTCTTTATTATATTTTATCTCGAAATTAATAGATAGATAAAGAACGCTAACGCTACTCTAAAGTAATATCTTAGAGTTTATATTAATTATAATTAGAATAATTAGATAAATCTATTATTAATAGTAAAGTTTAAAACTAACTTTAATAAAAACGCCTTATCGAGTATATTATTATTTCTTTTTATTAAAGAATATATTCCTCGCTCGAAAATAGAATCTTTTATTCTTTAGAATTAATTCGCTAATTAAAGAGCGAAGAGAGATATTAAGTTAACTAATAGATTTATCGAAAAGATAGATATTATAAAAAATTATCTAAGAAGTTAATTTAAATAATTATAAGCTTTATAAAAGAAATAAGCTAATTATTATCGACTTTCTATATTAGAATTTAAAGTTAAAGATATAATTATATTTAATAAAAGAAATATTAAAATTATACGCTCTAGTAAATTATTAAATTATAAAAATTTCGAATTATTTAGAATTATTAAGACTTTAAATAATTTCGCTTATAAGTTAAAACTCTTAATTTCTATAAATAATATCTATCTTATCTTCTATTTATAGCTATTATATTTTAATAATAGCGATCTACTATTAAAATAAATCGAGCTTTTATTATCTTCTATTAATATTAATAAAAAAAATAAAATTTATAATATTAAAGAAATAGTTTAATTTAAATTAAATAAATAAAAAAATAATTTCTTAATTAATAAGAGAGAATATTTAATATATAAAATTAAATATAAAGGCTCTAAAATTGAGAAAAACTTATTCTAATAATTATTTATGAATATAGTAGAATATTTAAATCTAATAGCAGATTTCTATTATTACTATCTCGAGGTTATTAGCCTTTATTTATTATTTAAAAAACCTTTAAAATCATCTCCTCTATTAGCGCTACTAATTTATAATAACTATATCAATTTATAAGAAAACTTTAATATTATAATAAAATACTAAATTAATATATCTAAGGATATTACTTTATATATATCTAGATATATCTTTTATAAGATCGATATTTACTATATAATAATTATCGTTAAAGCTTCGAATTAAAGGGGGGGGTAATATCACGGTTTTAATAACCTTATAACCTTACTTGTATTATAGCCTAATTAGGCTTAGCGTGCCAAGGCCTTTCGATCTTTCTACCTTGCTATAAAACTCATACTTATAATAATCTTATATAGATAGTATTCTCTTCATACTACAATATAGAGTTACCACACACACCATTGAGTCCCTGATAGTGGGTCAGCATTGTCCAGGACTGATAGGTATCAAGCTTCGTTCAGATGTCACAGGCGCTTTGTACCTGAAGGGTGGGTCGGGTTGTCCCGAGATGTCCTCGAAAGCTCTTTAAGTGACATACCGAGCTACAGCTAATGGTCTTGGTCTACACATCTACAGAGTTCTAATTGAGGGACCCCAAACCGCCCCAATATACGATTGCTCTTTTCAAGGTAAAAGAGTGGTCACTCCAAACGACGGAGGTTTTGACGCAGGCTCTGTACCAACGCCGTTCTCACTGGTCCATGCTTCTTAGCCGTCAAGGTCTCACTACTCTACTGTGGTTCTGTCGCCGCACTCTCCTCGTCCATCAGCGATGGCATTGATTGCTCGGTGGATCAATCTTATTCACATCATCCTTTGGGTGATCGGCTCGACGCTGTTTTACATCTACCAGTGTATACCTCCCGGTCATTACCGGCAACGTAGGTATGTCTTGTTCCCGATCCCGCCGCCATCGCCAGTAAGTGGGCAGTGCAACTCCGCGACGCCTGTATTGGTCGCCCTGCCTTTGATCTTTAGCTTGATCTCTGACTTTGGGATTCTGCTCCTGCCGGTCACAACTGTTTCGCGGCTTCACGTGCGAACATGCAGGAAAATTGGCTTGATCGCAGTATTGTCGCTCGGCTTGCTGGTACCCTGACTGGTTAGCATGAACAGAATTATCGAATAATGACTGACCAAGAACTTTCGTGCACTGATCACCATGAACAGAATTATCGAATAATGACTGACCAAGAACTTTCGTGCATGTATTTGCGAAATCGTATGAATCTGGCTCGAGGTGACCGTTCCTGCTTTGGAGGACCCCACTTGTAAGTCACACGCGTTCTACAGATATGACTACACTTTGAAAGACGCTGCTCTAGATGCGAATGTCACGTTTGTTATCTTCACCTTCGCAGAGTGAAACATTGCTGTTGCGGCCGCCTGTCTGCCACTTATTACATCTCAGTGGCGATACCTTATCAACAGATTGCGAACTTATCGAGATAAAAGGTCGGGCACTCCTATATCACACTCAAGCCGAGATGGGGCACCAATCCTTCTGAGAACACTCAAGGTTCGCGTTATAGCCAGGGACAGAAACACGGCGGTTCACAGGAAAGCAATTTCGAGGAGAGGAGAGCGTTAGTTTCATGGACAGAAGCCACATGGGACTTGGAAACGAAATCGACATTGAGTGGGGCCGTTCAAATCAACAGATTGATCAATGATCACTCGGTTTCTACGTGTGTGTTTGTTTGGGGTTGCAGGAAGCTGAAGGAACCCCTTTTTTCATAGCAATCCCAGCAACCAGAGAAACTACAAAAATAAGCCAGAGAATCATCACTCTTGACCTCGGGCCCTATATCTCGAGCTTAGTCAATCTTAGCTGATACGTTCTGCGCAGAACCATATCATGCGCAGATTTGGATCAGATCTCGCCCACGAATGCGCCATATTCTCCTTGACAACCGGAGGCAGAAACATATCTGACTCGACCTTCCAGCTCGAGCCCGTCTCTTTTCCGACTTGCGCCCAGAATCGCTCCATGCTTTCCACATTGTGGCGATAATTAAGACCGGTTCCTGTCGGCATCGGATACTGGCCTGCATCAAGGCTACCCATCTGATTGCCGATGATCATGGAACCTGGGAGCTTGCGAGTCAGCGAAACCAGACGCTTCGTCGCTGTGACCATATCGTCCCAGCCCCAGGAATGCAAGAGCGAAGCCGCGTGGACGATATCCATCTTGCCTTCTACGGCCTTGAGACCTTTGCCGTCTGGTGCCATGGAATCTGCCAGGACATCACCCGAGAGCATTTGGGCATGGAGCTCGTCTCGGTCAAGGAACAGTTCGTAGCCCAAGTCGAGGAATGCGGGCTCGAGATCGAACCCGTACAGCTGTGTCGCCGCTATGCCTTCTTTGAATACCAAGAAGCGAATCTCTTGACCAAAACAACATCCCGCGTCAACAAACGATGCTCCTGCACGGAGGCGCGGTAGAATACGAGGCCAGTACGGCAGCTTCGGCAAGGTGAAGTCCAGAAATCGGACTTGGCCGATGCATGCATATGACCAGATATCGAAGGCCTTGTCCCGCTAGACTGTGCGTCAGAAGAGCTGGAGTGCAAGATGACGTACGTATAGAGGGGTTCTCACAATGGCAAGAACGTGGGGCAGCACTCGCTCCGCGGGAATGCCGCTGTAGACCTCGAGCAGCTGCCGTCCCGCGTCGGGGATGGACTCCACGCGCTCCGCGTACCATGCGGGACGCGAGGTGGAATCGATCTGTGACTTTCCGTCAAACGTACTGGGACCGTGGTGCCCCTTTCTTTCCAAAGACATTGTATGGGCATGTGTGCGAGTATTAGGCTGGTATATGGATGAGGCGGAAGAAGCCGGGACTAAGGCCGTAGGTGGGAAGTGGCAGGGTTCTGTCATACGGATCTAGGAGTAGGCTGCGTGCATCTGGCGGTAACATTCCGCCTAGCGAATCCTATAGAGAGCAGGCAGGTGCTTGTTGCTACCGAACGTAACATCATTGGATCTTTCAGCATTCGGCAGTCAGTTTAGTGAGGTGATTAGAATGCTCACATGCATTACACGTATTAAATGTTCCAGGCGATGCAGGTCACCCCCTAAGACACTTTGAGCGAACAGCCGGGTCATGTAGCCCATTGACTTGGCATTGTGTCTGCTTTGTATATCGAATGGGAGGACATGCCTGACTTCTTGACATCTTTTGCTTAGAAAGTATTTGTTTTTTTGGGATCCCACAACCGCTTTATAGACACGAACATGATTATAACTTCTGGAGTCAACGACTGATTCATTCACCACCAGATCACTCGCCAAGATAGCTCATCTAACAGTCAAAAAAACCTTAAGCCTTGCGCGGCAATGTGGGCGACAGACCCTAGCACTTTGGCGCAGACGCTCTAAAGGGCAGCCAGATCATCGAGCGGGATCACACTGTATGATGATTGGGAAGGGAAGGCCTGCAGGCACATTCCGTACCATGAACTTCTCGAGATTTCTCTCGAGGGAGCTAAAAAGATAAGAAGCCTGCCCAGAGCCCAGTGTGAGGACCATTGTATTCATACATTCTGAGTCCTTCCAGGAGAACCTAGAATGGTTCTGGGCTGTCGTTCTTGCAGGACTTTTGCCCGCTGTGTCCACGCCACTTCCCGTAAGGCACATCTTACCCTTGCCCAGAAATCTTCTCCACAAGTCGGCCTCGGGTAAACTCTCGCGAAAATAACACAGAAAATGCTTCGAGGATGGGACCTATGATGACTATGAAGTTCCGAAAATCCCTTCTCTCAAAGATTTCAAAGCCACGCAACGTGAACACGCGGGAACTCCAACCGAGCATGCCATATCAGCAATTCTGCGGGATGTCGTCGACGTGCCGGAAGAAGAATTTGGCGTCAACGACAGCCTGTTCGAGTTCGGGGTGACGTCGATAGATCTCTTCATATTGAAAAGACGAATCGAGAAATATCTCCGCCTCGAGAACGCTCTGCTCGTCGGCATCTTGTTGACAACACCATCTACACGTGGCATCACTAAAGAGTTGGAAAAACGAGGTCAGAACTCAGGGCGTGAGTACAACCCAGTTGTTCCTCTTCGGTCCAATCAAAACTCTATGAAGTGAAGCTCTCGCCATAGATCAATCTCGTTTGCACAAGCTCACGGACGTCACGGATGTGTTTGGGTAAGCGGGTAAAAGGTATGATCTGGATGGCATGGTGCACGCGATGGACGTCTTCTGGGTGACTCCCCTGCAGTCCGTGGCTGGGAATCGCAAGGAGTGGATGGGCAAGCATCTGAACCAGTGAGAAGACTTCTCAGCTGAACCGCCCCGATTCCATGATTGTAACGGCTCGCATTCAAAGATGATGAATGCAGAGTGTGTCGCTTCGTTCCAGAAGATTTTCAAAAGTGCACTGACCGCCAGAGGTATTTAGAAGTCCGAAGTATAAAGGCAGGTGAATGTGAGGTGGATCTTGGTAAGATGCATACTACGATATCTCATCTTATTAGTCAATCCTAGGGCTCAACTTCAGGCTTCAGGACGTTGCGAACCGTAGTGAACAAATCACTTTTGGTCTCATGATTACAAGCGCATCAAGCTTTCTGGAACTAACACCGTGGGCGTTCAGCTGCGGTGGAATCACGCGCGTTAGTGGATTTTCACCTTTGAGGCTGAGTGGTAAGTTATCTAATCCGTATTCGATCGAAGGCGCATACTTTAAAACCCTGCATCCGAGTGTTTGCAAACACTATCATCGGTTACCGACTGTGTGGCGAGCCATTTGTAGCTTTTCAAGAATGTCACAGCACTCGCCACGGACCGACAGAGTCGGAGGGTCAAATACTCGTATGTCAGACCCTGCCATTTTGCACGTTGTAGATAATAAAACGCTCTGTCGATCTATAGCGCGAAGTTTTTTGAAGAGATATAGTTCGGGAAGCCTCGAGTGAACCTTGTAGAAATCAGAGAAAATGAATCACGCATGAGTAGCAGACTGGAGACGGTCCTGAAGTTAGTAAAGTAGAGTCAGTCATACGTACTTATTGTGTACTTAGAGAAAGCCGGGAGCGTCTTAGACCGTTGGATCATCAGCCCCGACTCCGCAAGCGCCCTCTCAATCGCTAGCACAGGATTCCAAGTTTCCCTACCGGACTCATCCACGTCCTTGCCTTCAATTCAAATTCTTCCTCAATCGGAATTCCCTAGCAGGCCACCACGTCCGCCCTCGCACAATGCCTAGGCATTGACAACGGAAGCCCGTCATCCAGTTTTTCCTTCCTTTTATCAGCAAACTGCAGCCTGCCTAAAGGGTTCTTTTAGGACGCAAGGATCCGCGCGTCCTCTTAGTTTAGGCGTCGTGGGACGCAAAGGTCTCTCAATTGGAAGAGTGCTGCTGGTCTTATGCTTAGCACTTCAGATCTAGCCAACCGCTCGAACGATTTGCTCAGGCACGAGGAATCAAACATGATACCCTACTTTCAACAGCTGTAGTCACGCGCCAATCGATGGGAAACATCAGCGCAGCGATGCAGACATATAAGCAGCTGTATCAGACCTTGTCAAGTAAACAATACCAATGCTGCAACTAAAAAATCCCTCCCCGATCTTGCCTATCATCTACCTCGTCGGTTTAACAGACCTTGTGAATCTTCAGCACGGCTAGCTTCAAAGACACAGCCTACCACTGCAAGTACATCGATGATTTACCGAGAGGAGGACTCCTTCCAAGCCTTACGATCGATATCCCTGGTTTTCTCCACGCCGTTATGGGACGTACATATTCCACGACTCGAGCCGAGTGGCCTCCGAGTGCTGAGGAGGACCTCGTAGGGTACTGGAATGGCTTCGAGAGCTTGACTGTAAAACGTTCCACGGCTTGGGGGAATACTCCTGGTGTGCATCTTGTAACTTACCGGCAGTTCTGTAGAGTACTAGGCATCTACCTTGATGGATCCAGTATTTAGCCGGAAGAGATGTCGGCATTATCGCATATCGTCGACAGTAAGGGATGACGAAGTTGATGAGGAGACCGATTGCCATTGCCTTCTTTTCTTTTTGGGGGGTTGAACCACGCTTCATGGGTGGCCACTTTTGGTACACGCCGTCGCTGGTGGTGTGGACTATGCCTCGAGTGGTGGACCAGGATGCGAAACCTCCTTCTTTGACGCATTGACCACTAATCTTAATCGGGTTAGGGGCCGACGGCACGCCCTGACATGCCAAGAAGCGTCGGTTAACCTTCCCAACAAGAACTCATCTCGTTTCTCCCACAATTCCAGTTCCTTCTGTAAATTAGTGACCATGGTCAAAAGAAAGATTGGTGCCTTGGAGAAGGTTGATGCGGATTTGTACGAATTCATCCGCCACGACTACCTATGGGCAGACCC